TATCAACATTGACATCCAAGACTTGCATAAGATGAAACCATCGCATTTGAATCACATGTTATACTTACCACACACATAAACCATTGATAGAAACAGTTGCATATAAAGGGGCCAAGAGAAAGCACAAACCTTGGAAACATTGGGCCTGCCTGGATGTACCACATCAATGACCTATATAAACACAAAAACTGTAAGGCCCTGTTTGTTTTTCAAAAAAAAAGCACTCTGAAAGGGAATTTGTTTGCATATATTTAAGTTTGATGAGTATTATCCTTTTGGTTTCTCATATTTCAATCTTGTGGATATGGCCTTCACAGGATGCAAAGAAGGGCGTCCTGTTCATTGATTTCCCCCCTGTATATATATGAAGCAAGATCCATATGAAGAACACAAATCCATTAAAGAAGAACACAGATCCATTAAAGAATAACATAAATCCATGTATATATATGAAGCAAGAGGTAGAAATTGACATACTTGTTGAAGATTTTAGGTTAGCAGATCGAGATCAAGAGCTTTGAGAGACCGATTGCTRTGAGATTGAGCGATTTGGCGATTGATTGCGTGAGAGAGCTGGAGATCGATGAGCGACTGGAGATTGATTGCGTGAGAGACCGATTGCTGTGAGATTGATTGCGTGAGAGAGATCGAGATCRAGAGATGAATGATTCCGTGATATGAGMAACTGCGAGAGATCGAGAGCTTGAAAGAGAAATCGAGGGCTTGAGAGTGCACAGGGGCGGCGATGGAGAGGTTAGAGCGACGAGGTAGGGGAATCSAAAATAAGAGGTTTTCAGAGTTTAATTTACATCTAACCGATTCAGACAAAATGACACAAATTCAGCTCTTAATTGAAAGAAAAAACAAACGCACTTAATACCTCAAGGTCTGACCGATTCAGACATAAGAGGTATTAAGTGGTTTTTTTTGAAAAACAAACAGGGCCTTAATTTGAAAATTAATATCGATGTACTTTTTCAAATTTTTATGATATCTTCAAATTTATTTTTATTCAAAAGTAAAAATATTGTCTTTCTCAAAACCACATAAACTGTATTATATCAACAGAGACAAAAAATAAAACGCAACATTAAAATGAATATATATTTCGTTGCATTGCGCGAGTACCCTTTTAGTAGTTATAAATGCCCAAATTATTATGTAGGGTTGGATTCTTATGAGAAATGTTACTTTTTATATGAAATATAAAAACAAAACCTTTTTTTATAGATGTTTCAAATTATGTCAACTCTGATAAACTCTGATAAACTCAGTGGCTACAATTGTTATGTACACTTGAAATCAAATTATGGACAAATGAGATATTTCACTACATCCTCCATGACCTCGACTAGACAACCACTACGCCACAACCCTTGTGGTAAAAAAAAAAGACTAAAACCACAAAGGTGGTGCCTGATTGGTTTGAGTTTGGCTCCAAAGGTCAAAAGTACCAAGAGGTCCCAAGTTCAAATCAAGGAGAAATAAAAACCCCCTTGTGGTCATGGAGGTTCAAATGTGGTGACTCCGGGCTATCTGCAAAGCAGGTGGTCGCCCTAGAATTAGTCGGTTCGCATAGCGGTTTAGGTATCTAGGTTAATAAAAATATCCTAGTGAAGGTACACATTCAAGTCCTGTAACTTCCACAGAATACAAGTTAACATTGACATAGTATAATGGCATATTCACCACTTCTCATCAAAAATCTTTTTTTTCTTCATGATGTGATCCCAACCAATGGTGAACCCAGGATTTTTGTCGTGTAGATGCATCTTTAAGGTGGAGTCGTTCGCTGTGTTTTTAACTAAACTCCACTGTTTCAAGGGAATTTTCAAGTTTTGTGATTGATTTTGAGGGATTTTTTCAGTTTTTTTGTTGATATTCCTTGTATTTTCTAATATCTCAGAGCAGCCCTCAAAATTTAACGGGTACAGCTCGTATACCTTAAAAAATCTACCTATGAGACCCGGGGCTTAATAAGCTCACCCCTTATTTAGTCAATAGATGCCTATTAAAGAGAATCTACTCTTGGTCCCTTGGTTTATTCGAAAATCTTAAATTGTCTTTGTACTTTAATAAAAAGTTAAGATTACAAGTAGATTGTACGTAAATATAACTTATTAAAACTTCATATATGAATTCGTGTAACTAACTGCAGATAAACATAATTAAATACATGGTAAACGTCTCATTTTAAATATAAAATATAATTAGGATAATCATTGAGTTCTAACAGAATACTTAATTATTATCTTTATAAAATGTTATATTATTAAAACAAAAATAAATTATTTTATTATTAAACTTAAATTAAATTATAATAAAAAAAATCACATAAAAAATGAGAACTTTTAAATAGTTGATTTGATATTAACGTTGATATATTTTTTTTCAAATTTTCATGATATCTTCAAATTTATATTTTATTCAAAAATAAAATCATTATTGCTTTCTTAAAAACACATAAAATTGTATTATAACATCGACAGAGACAAATAATAAAATAAAACATTAAAATCGATATACATCATGTGTGGGAAGAAAAATCACGGTGTTCCTTAAGCAAGTGGATGATATAACGATTTGAACCCTGAGACTTCACATATGGATTCCGACCTCCTTCCTACTACGACAATTTTGATACAGATCAACCCATCATTTCCTCATTTTGTTATCAACAATTGATATCAGTCATTTCACTATTGTTACGTTAAACTATGTGTATGGTCGAAATGGGAATGGTTCGTACGAACGGGTATGGGCTCACCTACGGAGTGCCCCAGATAGGGGTGTAAACGAGTCGAGTCGAGTAGCAAGCTATTCGAGCTCGACTTGAAAAAATAGTATCAGGCTAAAGCTTGATTATCTTTCAATGTTTGAACTCAATCTCGATTCTCGTTTATAAGCTCGAATTCTAGATCGATTAACTCGTTTATCTGCTCAAGCCTTATAATACTTATATTATGATTATATAATCTGTAAGCATATAAAAATGTTTGGCTCTAAAATGCGTATACTTGAATGGCTCGCCTCAGCTCGACTCAACTCGTAAAGTTTAATTGAGCTTTCAAACGAGTCAAGTCGAGCATTGGTGTTATGAAGTTCGACTCGTTAAGTTAAGCAAGATTTCTTTTGTGTTAAAGATTGACTCGAGCTCGATAATTATTAAGCTCGAGCTCGAGATAAACGACCACGAGCTCGAGTAGCTCGTTAAAAACTCGACTCGTTTACACCCCAAGCCTCACCACAAAGGTCCCAGAACCATCATGTAAAGGAAAATCACAATATCCCATAGAAAAGTGAACAGTCACCAGATTCGAACCCGAGACCTTGTGGATTCCTTGCAACAATTCAGATTAATATCAAGGCCCAAGATTAGAGCCTATACGAGCCCGTATGAACCATTTCCATTTCAACCATAGACATAGAATGAGACTCGCCCCAACTAAGAACCCGATGTACCCGCCCCAACAGGGCCTGGGATTCCCTGCGAAACCAGGAACCGAGAATAAGACATGGATTCACAAAAGTTAGAAACCACTGACAGGGATGTGGCTGATTAAAGCGATTTCTTCCCCGTCTCTATATATTAAATATATTATTGTACTATATTATAAAGCATTTGCCAAAAACTCTTAAAAACCATTTTTTATGCATGAAGTATTGTATATTGATGCATATTACTTAAAGTTCAAGATTACAAGTAAACTATGAATAATTACAACTTATTAAAGCTCCATGTTTGAATTCGTATAACTAACTGCAGACAAACATAATCAGATAAAGGATAAACATCTCATTTTAAAATATAAAAAATATAAAATATAATTAAGATAATTATCGAGTTTTGACAAAATAATTAACTATTATCTTTATAAGAAAATTATATTATTAAACCAAAAGGAGCAATAGCTTCCTTCTTGTTTTATCAAGAGGACGTTATTGCTCCTTTTTTATTTAGTAGTATAAATATAAATTACTTCGTTATTGAATTTAAATTAAATTTGAATTAAAAAAAATGAGTAATTTTAAATAGTTAATTTGATACTAATATCGATATAATTTTGTCAAATTGTTATGATATCTTCAAATTTATATTTTATTCAAAAATAAAAACATCATCGTATTTTCAAAATCACATAAGACCATGTTATAACATCACGGATAAACATAATCAGATAAGTGATAAACATTTCATTTTAAAATATAAAAAATCTAAAATATAGTTAAGATAATTATCGAGTTTTACCAAAATAATTAACTATATCTTTATAAGAAAATTATATTACTAAACCAAATACAAATTACTTCGTTATTGAACTTAAATTAAATTTGAATTTAAAAACAAAAAATGGGAAATTTTAAATAATTAATTTAATACTAATATCGATATAATTTTGCCACATTTTTATAATATCTTCAAACTTATATTTTATTCAAAGATAAAAACATCATCGTTTTTTTCAAAATCACATAAGATCATGTTATAACATCGATTTAAAATAAAAAAATGAAATGAAATATTAAAATCAAGATGTATCTCGCTGCATTGCGCGAGTACCCTTCTAGTTACTTATAAAGAAGTGGATTTAGTCTCTCTTAAATTTAGAAAGTAATCACGACATTCTTATATACATTTTTCTTACATGCCTTACTTTTTTTAGATAAAAAACATGAAGAGCCAAAAGTGTTTGATCAAACAATTATGTATGAGGTTTGTGATGTTGTCAACATACGAATATTTGATACTCTCTATAAGCAAAAAAATTTGGAACTACGAGATTCAAACATGGACCATTTTGAATCTGAGTGTGGTATTTAACACATTTGATATAAAATATCTCACACAAACGGGAAAAAGTTCTCCGACTCTCCGTTCCCTATTGGGAACAGAGACGGAGATGGGGATGTGATCATATACCCAGCAGGGACTGGGAGAGGGACAGGGATGAGGATTATTCCATGCCTAGTTTAACAGAATAGTTAAACTATTGGTCAAATGTTTGATATCACTTGCTAATGACAAAATAAGGGACTTAATGTTCAGAAGGAACAATAACAAGAAAAGAAACAAACACATATTCCTCTCTTCTCAAATATGCCATAGCAAAGTGTGGACTCTAAAAACAACCATCACCTAAAAGACAAAGAAATACTCGGCAATCACAACGATTTTGGTGATATTCAAACCGAACGTGAGCTACCCAGAATGCGAGACTACGGCAAGGGGAAAGCAGTTAGCAGATAAACCAAACCAAATAAATCCAGTAAATCCCACACGAAGTAGGGTTTGGGGAGGGTAGAAATGATGTTTCCGTGAAAGCAATTTGAAGATGAAACTCGCAAATCGATCACTAATTAGCAAAAAAAATTGTAGGCTCAGTTTTGCTGTGCTATCAATTGATTCACTTTTTGTTAGCTTAGGGGAGCACAGGCACCCCCTAGCCTAAGCCTTTAAGACCCTTATTTTTTCCATTGCAGCCGGACGATAAAGCAGGTGCACAGGCACCTCCTAGCCTAAGCCTAAATCCACCCCTTTATGTACTCCAGGTAACAGTTTGATAGAAGATACACACATCAACCTACTTACGACCGATAAAAGAAAAGAAACTACCATTTATCAAACAGATGAAAGTTATCATACCATCTGATGCTCACCTCAATGTGATGATCCACATTTCCAATCACGAATCACTGGCACACTTTCATAGTATCAGCCGAAAACAACCTGACTTGAGGGTCATCATGCAAAGCCTTACCTGCATTCAAGTGGGTATCCTGGTTCATATGACCCTAACCAAGAACATGGCTTGGGAAACCTGATGGTAAGTTTGTCCACAGCCCACCCTGGTTCTGCACACCATGGAACCATTCTAACACCACATGGTGGTTAGATGATCCACTTCTCAAAAAACCTGCGTTCACCACTTCGCAATCAGAACTCCAGATATAAAGACAGCATATTCATCTTCCCCTCAAATCTCAATCATGACTATTCATTGATGAATAGACTGTAACTAAACCAAGCAGCATAGAATTTGCTTAGGGTAAAGAAGGTACATTGACATCAATAACACAATTGGTTCATAAACATTTAAGGGGGTGTTTGGGATTGCTTATTTGAAACAACTTATACTTTTCTACAAAAGCACTTATAAGAAGGGTTTAACTTCCTCAAAAACGCCTTATTACTGGTTTGACACCAATATAAATTGTTTATCCAAACACTCAAAAGTGTCGCACCGGAACAAGTCAATAAGTTGTTTTTATAAACAATCCCAAGTTTAGATACTAATTTGGAATTACGCAGAATTAAACAGCATGGTAATAAGCTAGTCGATCATATTCTTGCAAGATATATACTGCCATAAGAACAATCAGTACCAAGAAGCATAAACGGATAAAGAAAGCGAATTATATACAGTATTTGCATGAAAACGATCCTAAATAACTATCATTCTAGTAAAATAATGCGTCGTTCATTCACGGGAAGTGTGGTACCAACTACCAAATTACTATACCGACGTAAGCCATCGTCGAAACCTTCTCTTTAGTCTGTTCCGGGTTCAGCAACTCCATCGGCGACCATCCTCGCCAACCGTTTGAATGCGAAGATCAAGCAATTTGATAAAACAAACCAGCTAAGCGCCTCGTATACGAAATCAAAAGCCGGATCCGACGGCGAAGACGAAGATTCATCCCAATTAAAATTGCCACTGCTACCGCTACCACCGCCGCCGCCGCCGCCGCCGCCGAATGGACCATCGCTGCCACCAAATAACCCTCCTCCCTCTCCTTCCTCATCAGCACCAAAGCCGTCGATTCTCAATCTCTTTCTAACACGAGAACGTTTCCTGGCAAGTGTCTTTGGTATGGTGCTAGGTTTCACAGGCGGTGGAGCAACGGCGTCTATCGGCAAACTTTGAGCACAGATTTCGAGGCGTTGTTGTTGATCAGGCGAAGAATGTGTGAAATTGTGTCGACGAATAGGGAATGTAGCAAACCCTAGACCATGGCTTTGCTTTGGGTGGTCGATTGTTGTTACGGTATCGGAAATCATCGAAATTTCCATTGTTTATGAGGGAAATTTAGGGTTCGAAATATCAAAATCGATCGAATGATGAATTGGACGAGTTTAACAAATCAAAATTGGGGCAAGTTCTTCATTCGTCTTGATGATGAGTGTGACGTCGAAGTTTGTCAGTCGGGAATTTTTTATATACCATTAAATTCTCTACCCCTTGGATATTTGAGTTTATAACATTAAATAAAATACATAAAATAGCTTCATGGTTATCCTGTAATCTTTAATTACGGGATGTTTTGATTGGTTTCTAATAAATTGTTTGTATAAAAGGAAATTACTATTTTATACACGGTATGTTAATAAAAACTAGAATAGTATTCGTACAAATGCAGTGAGATACATTTTTATTTTAATATTTTATTTTATTATTGATTTTAATAGATGATATAATATAGTCTTATGTGATTTTGAAAAAACGATTATGTTTTTATTTTTAAATGAAATATAAAACTGAAGATATCATAAAATTTGATAAGAATATATCGATATTAGTGTCAAATTAACTATTTAAAATTTCTATTTTTTGTGTATTTTTTAATTCAAAATCTTTATTTTTATTTAATTTAAGTTCAATAATGAAATAACTTATTTTTGGTTTAATATTATAAATTTTATAAAGATAATATTTAAGTATTATGTTAGGATTCAATTATTATCTTAATTATATTTTAGATTTTTTATATTTAAAATGAGATGTTTATCCTGTATGTGATTATGTTTATCTGCAGTTAGTTACACGAATTCAGATATGTAGTTTTAATAAGTTGTATTTACGTTGAATCTACTTGCAATTTTGAGTTTTAAGTAGTATGCATTAATAAACAATATTTTACGAATAAAAAAGTGTTTTTTAAGAGTTTTTTGTCAAATGCTTTATAATATAGTATAGATGATTATTTTTTAGATTTTTTACAAAATGACCACCAAGGTGATTTTGACTATAAAGTCCAGATGAGTCTCACATGTATACCATTTGGGGAACAAAAATAAGATATTATATCTTATATATATGAAATCACATTTACTTTGTCCAAATCGCCCCATGGGGGCAATTTTAATCTTTATTCCTTTTTCTAGTAAAGACAACTTATAACGCAACGATTTGACAAGATATCGGGGACGATTTTCATTCGTATTTTGTTTTTTTAGGACCAAATGTAGTGTATATATATAAATCTTGTAGTATTCTCTATAAAATTATAGTGATCAAAACATTTATACTCTCACAACCTTAACCTTTAAACACAATCTACCATCATAACTCTTAACATAAATAAAAAATATCGCCAAAGTGATAATGGTTTCATGTATGTTCAAAGTGGCGGGTTAAAGGTTGTGAGGATAAAAGTGTTTGAATCACTACAATTTTATAGAAAATACTACAAGATTTATATATATTACATTTGGTCGTAAAAAATATAAAATATCAATGAAAATCGCCCTCAATGTTGTGTCAGATCGTCGTTGATGTGTCAAATTGTTGCGTCATAAGTTGTCTTCACTAGAAGATGAAACATAGGTCAAAATCACCCCCATGGGGAGATTTTCACTTTTTGAGGGAGATTTGCGCATTTTCAGATATACTATCTGATTTTTGTCCCCCAAATAATATACATGTGGGACTCATCCGTATCTATTTGGTGATCATTTGGAAAAAAAGCTTTAAAAAATTGTTATTTTGTTAATGTACAGTATATAAAATGGTTATTTTGGGTAATTTCTCTTGTATAAATTAAAAAAATGTTTTTTTATGAGGGTTTTTTATAGACGGAAAAAACATGTCTAGAAATGGAAGGAACATGTTTGAAAAAACTTAGCATTTTGCATAAAGCATTTCCTGAAAGCTTACTGAATATGTCACTTGCTTTATCATTTAACCATTACCAGCTAGTCATGTATAACTGTCCAAATAAGTTGTAAGTCTCGTTAAGCTGTTAACAAACAAGCCCTTCATTACCTAAAAATATACCTCATTTTCCAACATTTTCGAATTGATTATGATGTTTTAGACTAATCAGGTAAGAAAAATTCGATCTAAATTACGAGTTAATAATGATGAACCCAAATTTTATCAAGAAAAAATTGTTACCGAAATGGCTTATGAACAAAATTGTTTACGACCATCTATGAATTGGTAACGATGATCTAAATTACTAATACTAGAAGGGTACTCGCACAATGCAGCGTGATATATTTCGAATTTAATGTTTAGTTTTTTTTTTTTGTGTCTCAGTCGGTGTTATAATACGGTTTTATGTAGTTTTGAGGAAGCGATAATGTTTTTATTTTTAAATAAAATATAAATATGAATATATCATACAAAATGAAAAAAAAAAATATTAATATTAGTATCAAAATAACTATTTAAAATTTATTTTTTGTGTGTATTTCTTTAATTAATTTTTTTTATTTTTGGTTTAATAATATAATTTTTATATTGATAATAATTAAGTATTTTGTTAGAAATTAATTATTATCCTAATTATATTTTAGATTTTTTATATTTAAAATGAAATGTTTATTCTCTATTTTATTGTGTTTATCTGCAGTTAGTTACACTAATTCAAACATGAACATTTAATAAGTTATACTTATGCATATTTTACTTGTAATCTTGAACTTTAAGTAATATGCATCAATAAACAGTACTTCATGCATAAAAAATTGTTTTTAATAATTTTTTGTCAAATGCTTTATAACATAGTATAGATTTAACAGTTTGTATATTTTTGAATAAGTAAAAAAGAAAAATCATCTTAACATAAGTTACAAGTCAAAAATTATTCTATATGTGCGGAGTTTATTACGAAGCAATGGTTACGAATTCTTTATGACTTTAAGAACATGTTACGATTTCCCAAATTCCCGATTTTAGGAGTTTGTAGATCTTGAAATCATAAGAATTTTAAATTCTTTTATATCAATTAGAGTTACACGTCAAGAGTTATGTATCCTAAGAGGTCAAGGGTTTAAACCTCACCAAATATGAGGAGGACGTATGAGTTTATTTATTCTATTTACCGTATATAAATATTATATACTTAAAAAAAATTTACCAAATTGTTTACGGTCATTTGTGAAATGATGTTACAATTTCGTAAATTTTAAAGTTATACCAATTTGTGGTTAGTTTTTTCAAAATCCACAGACTGTAGATTTTGAGAATTTACGAAATCAAATCCTGTTCATAAATCAAAGCCTAAATTTAAACAATAAAACCCATAAGTTAACCAAATCCTAAAATCAAATCAAACCCTAAACAAAACCATGGATGAACATGTAGATGATATGGAACCAATCGTTTCAAGAAGGTCTTGGGCTGGAGACTGTACGTGGCCGTTTATCTAAACACTTACCCGGTAAGCACTTACCGGTAAAATTCAATAATATCGCTTATTTATCGGGTAAGATTTTATTCATTAAAACACATCGTATGCAACAATTTCTCCCGGTAAGCGCTAACCATGGGTAGAGTCATCGTCCTCACTTACCGGGTAAGACACTGGATTCTTACTTTCACTTTTACCGGGGTAAGATTTTTAGTTCTTGTCATATTCATCTAGTAAAGTAAAGTGACTTGGTAAGCGTTTGCCCGGATAAGCGTTTGGTAAACGGCACCTAAGTCTCTGGACGGGTCCCGAGGGGTTACAATTTCCATATGTGTATGTGTGTGTTTACCAGTTATTAATATAATAACTTTTATATTTAAAAAAAATGAAATAAAACTAGAAATAGACCAAAATGCCACTCACTTAACGAATAGAATTAATATCCGTTAGTCAGAGAGACTAAAACCAAGGAATTTTACATATCATGAGGTTCTTTTTGCAGTAAAATTTTTGTAGAGGCGCAATCCAAGAAAATTAACAAACCACAGGGACCAAGAAAATTAACACATATGAACCATGAGTATGAACGGTGAGGATCCGTATACTGTATTCGAAACTTAATTAGAGTGTTGAGCTTATGATTTAATTGAACATTGTCTGTAAGGATAATAACTTTTGATCCGAAAATAATAAAAAAATATCCAGATACTGATTACGGGTAAGAATAAGCATACAACTGAATATGTCAAAATGAATTAGGCAACCTGATGGTGGCCTACCCTTGATTTTAATATACACCTATCCTTATTTTGTATATTTGTTAAAAATACTGTTTTTTTATGCCTGTAGATCTCTTTAGAATAAAAGCAGTATATATTGACCCTGTCTTTTTTCTTTTTCTCCCATCCATCAATGTCTTTTTCTCCCATCCATCAATGTCTTTTTCAACGTTGATGCCATTAACCGACCATCATAGGATTTATCGCTACTATGCAATATTGACAAAACCTATAACGTTTTTGCTGTACTGTATATGTGATGAAACGAGTGGTTTCGTCGGGTTATGAAATGTATTAAAACGGATTTGGAGCAAATGGGTAAATTTTTAAGAAGTATTGATAGCGTCAGATCGATCTAATATATATTTTTCACGTTTAATTTTTGAAAGTTTCAGAGTTAATTAATATATTGAAATAATGCTTCACGTTGTTTGGAATAAAACAATTTATAAAAACACGGATGTTTTGTTTTTAACTGTGTTTTTAAAATTTTATTTATTGAATTTGTTAAAAGGTAAAATATAATACGAATTCATCTATTTTCATACATATAGACAGATAGGCGAAATATCGTGTGAGAATGAAAGTTATGGTGAGAAACATAAGAAGAGATCTGAATTCTTGATCACTTTTAACGGATATTGCAATTAGTAACAAACAATAAGTACTGTGTTGTGCATATCTATACTATATTATAAAACATTTGACAAAAACTCTTAAAAACCATTTTTTATGCACGAAGTACTGTTTATTTATGTATATCACTTAAAATTTAAGATTACAAGTAAATTGTGCATAAATACAACTTATTAGAGCTCCATATTTGAATTCGTATAACTAACTGCAGATAAACATAATCAAATATTGGATAAACATATCATTTTAAATATAATTAGGATAATCATTGAGTTCTAACAGAATACTTAGTTATTATATTTATAAAAAATTATATTATTAAACATAAATTAAATTTCTTTGTTACTAAATCTAAATTACATTATAATTAAAAAACTGAATTAAGGAAATTACACCAAATCACAAAAACTTTAAAAAAATTAACTTGATACTGATATCGATATATATATTTTTTCAATATTTTATAATATTTTTAAATTTATATTTTATTCAAAAATAAAAACATTATCGTCTCAAAATTACATAAAACCGTAATATATCTACATATAAAAGAAACAAAACGAAACACTAAAATCAAGATGTATCTCGATGCATTGCACGAGTACCCTTATAGTATATAGATATATGTCGTCTTATGGCACATCTAGAAGAACATCGTGGCGTTGCTGTAACTCATAAGACTCACGATTTGACCTCATCGCCATGCCGCGACTCACATCATTTAGAACCTCGGACATAACTACATAAGGTAGCCCATAACCTAGTTTATTGAAACATTACTCCAAATTAATACTTAATTATTTATAAATATTAATATTAATATTAAGTATTGTTTTTTATTAATTTTTATCATATATTACTAATAACTTTTATTTTTAATCAAATTCTTAAATAGGTTTTTGTAAATTACATTAAAGTTATGATTTTGATATTCTATAAATAAAAAAATTATAATAAACTATTTTAATAAAATATTAATTAATAATTTATTTTAATTATTCTGTACCAAATCATTCAACAACCGTAAAACAGTCATTAAACGTAATATAAAAATAAAATATTAAAAAGAAAAAGAAAAAGTAATTTCCGACCCGACCCGACCCACATATTTGCCCACCCAATTCATAGTATTTGGTCCATACATCCAAATCCCGAAACTGGAGTTCGCAGATATGCTAATTTACACCACCTACCTCTCTCTCATTTGAAAAAATCAAAGCAAATTCACCATTTTCATCTTCCTTTTCTCGATCTAGAGGAAGGAACAGTTTGATACTTATACGTAACCATAAATCTATACATGTACAGAAGTGTAGTTCATAACTATTATATTGTTTTGATCGGAATTGAGTAATCAAATGGCATCGGAGCAGTTGATGCCCAGCGGAGGGAGTGGATCCCATTACGTCCAAATGCAATCGGAGCCGTCGAGGTTGTCATCCTTTTTCTCCTTTCAGCAAAACCCGCCTGAGGCAACTCGAATTTTCGATGAGTTGCCCAAGGCCACAATTGTACAAGTATCTCGTCCCGACGCCGGTGATATTAGCCCCATGCTTCTTTCTTACACTATTGACTTCCAGTACAAACAGGTATTTTTTTTTTGTTATTGTAGCTTTTTAACGGTAATTATCATGTATGCAGTTTAGTTTAACTGGTAATTGATCGAAATTCGTTGAACATTTATGTTGTTGCCTTTTCAAGACGAGATTTAGTGGAATTGATATAAACTATGTTTAACAGTTCTTAATTGCTCTAATTGTTATTGGGTTTGATATAGTTTTGGATAATTTTAATTAAATATGAGCCTGTATCGATTTTCTGTTTGATCAAACACTTTGTCCAACAAACAAGTTAAAGCAAGATCCAAATTAGAATACCGACGGTTACATAGCAGCACTTTGTTGAACGAACAGAAACTGCCAACAAGTGTTCTTGATCAGTTTTTTAAAATAAGCTAGTGCTTTTTTTGTTCTATTTAACGTAGGAAAATTGCCATTGCAAGCATGTGCCACCACTTTCACAACTAAAAAGGAAGATCGGGAGTTGAACCATGGTAAGATGTTAAAGACTAATTAAACAATTGGGTAACAACTCTTTGCTGAATGAATGTAAAAATAAAATAAGTGTAAAAAGTTTGATAGAAGTTGCTTAGTGATGGAGGTGGGGATGATGAGGAGGTTGTAAAGCATGATTTTTTTTGCTTTGGTAAGAGATCTGCATTGTCATGCTTTTAAAAGTTTCTGTGAGCAAGTAGATATGGGTTGTGGAATTTTCTGTTTGGTAATTTGTATGGTAGTTCTTGAAATATCAAAGGAGTTTTACTGTCGTATACCTGAGGTAGAATGTTGCCTTGGTTTGATGCGAAGCTAAAGCTTCTTCAAGTTATAGCAATTCCTTACTGTTTTATTTTCTTTGTTGCTCTTTTTTTTAAGAGTACCGATTGAAGGTGGTTGCTAATGTATACCTTAATTCTGTCCATGGTCGATTTTGGACTGAAACAAAAAGCCATACAACTTGGGTTTTACATGAAAAACTTTATCTCTCTGGGACTTTTTCAATTCCATGGGATTTACTTTCATTCCAAAGTTTCTGTATTAGCTGCAGAGATTGAGCAATGTGAAAAAGTATAGAGTATCTGGGCGGTTTTACTAAACGAAACATTGCACAATTTCACAGATGTTATTGCTGGAGTTTAGAAAGGCTGATTGAGCGTTTCTTTTAGCTGGTTGCAGAGATTTTTTTGTTGTAAAAAGTTCCTGACTGATTAGTGTTACACCTTCATAAATATGTGCATTCGTTTTTTACTTCCTACATAGTTTTCTTACTTGTACATTGAGGACAAGTGTAGTGCCAGGTCATTAGGTAGGGTACCTATCTCCTGTCCTTTTCATCTTCACTCAATATATGGTGCCAGGTCGTTAGGTAGTTTTTCCTTTGTTCTGTTTTCCATCCCTCCTTCATGTACATTATTTAATTCATGCTTCTTTATTGGAGTAAATCAAGTTCACGGAGTGGTAGTCTCTCTATCCTTTGCCAATGGACTTCAATATGTTCTTCTTATCAGTTAGCTGCTTTTAGAAGGTTAACTTTTTTAAAAGTATATGATATCTATAGGCGGCAAATACTCACGCACACTCACCTTTGGGTGAGGTTTGAACTCTTGACTTCCTGGGAGCTGGGCATACCTGTAAGGCTGTAACCCAGGTACCGCTGGGCCGATGATCCTTAGGTAGGTTAACTTTTACTACTTTGGATAAAGACAAGGTCAGTCACAGGAGGGTGGACAAGACGGTCCTTTATCATTTAGTTTTTGGTAATAAAATTATCGTAAATCCCTTGTAGGTCAAGTAGAAGACATGTATTATATATGAAGTGCATACATCACTTTTCATACTTCTTTCCCCACTGATACATTTTCCTCAACTGATTCCAAGGAAGTAGTGTTTTTAGTTTTCTTTTTACTATTATGTTACAACGCCATATTGCTGGGGTGATATATGGTAGCACTATGGCTCACTGGTTTAGTATCTTATTAGTTTACTAGGAAAGACAGGTGATGGATGGTATAATCGCCACTTGCTGAGCGTGTAGTCAATCACTTCAATTTGGTAGTCCGTAAGATAAAATTGATTTAGCATAAATTGCAATTAACTTCCAGATGCTGATCAGTCCTATCACTTGATGTTTCAAAGTATGGCCAAGGTTTGGGACCAGAAAAATCTCTCTCTCAAATGCTCTTCCGTTACAGGCATACAAGTTCATTTCCCAATTCACGTTTTTTTATATACTCTGTTTGTGTACTTTGGGTTGCAGTTCAGGTGGCAATTAGTGAAGAAAGCTTCACATGTATTTTATCTACATTTTGCATTGAAGAAACGGGCCATTATTGAGGAAATTAATGAGAAACAAGAGCAGGTTTGTCTATCTTCTAGTCATCTTAGTTATATCTGGCCATTCTTATTTGTTTTTCCATCACTTCCAAGTCTTGACAATTGATTTGTCATGACTGACAATCTTTCTTTTGAAGGTTAAAGAATGGCTTCAAAGCCTAGGAATAGGGGACCACCCAGCAGTTGTGCATGACGATGACGATGAACCTGATGATAATGTGATGACATCAAATAATGAGGGAAGTGTTAAAACCAGGTGATTACTAAGTATCTAACTTTATAAGGATCGGTGGGAATATTGGTTCATTGCCATAATGATCATAATTCTTACAGGTGATTTTTTGTTCAGAGATGTTCCATCAAGTGCAGCCCTGCCAATGATACGCCCAGCACTTGGAAGGCAACATTCCATGTCAGATCAAGCAAAGACAGCAATGCAGGAATACTTGAATCATTTTCTTGGGAATCTGGACATTGTGAATTCGAGAGAGGTACATTTGTAATCTAGTTCAAGTCATCTTCAGATTTTTTACACATATCTAATTTTGATTGACCAGCTTTCTTTAAACTATTTGATATATTTGTCTTTATGCTTGTTTAAAATTATTGGGCAGAATAAATTTCCTACTTGATTGTGGAATATTGCCTCACCCCCTTCTTACAATAAGTGATACACATGAATGTTCTTCAATGCAGGTTTGCAAGTTTATGGGGGCTTCTAAGTTATCCTTTTGTCCAGAGTATGGCTCCAAGCTAAAAGAAGAATATGTATTGGTGAAGCATTTAGCAAAGATTCCAAACAGTGATGATGACAGAAAATGTTGCACTTGTAACTGGTTCAATTGCTGTAATGACAGTTGGCAAAAGGTATCACTGCCTTGTATTAAAATTTATAGTCCAAATGCTCTTTCTCTGCATGTATGAGTATCTGATTAATGATTTTGGAGGTTGTATCCATATATCTGCCTCTGCTGCTTAGGCAGTATAAAACAAGGGTCATAATTTGCTCCTTAAACTCTAATACATCCCATCATGTGATTAGAAGTGACTATACGTGTTTACTCCTGTAAAATGAAGGGAAACAAAAAACTGGTATTCGCCACCCTCTGGAGCGCCCCCACAGCACCGTTCCCACGGTCATCATGATTCATGGGGGAGGTAATCGTGCATACATCCCATTGGCAGAGCCACAGAGGGGCGGTGCCTGGCTTCGGAATCAGGACCTCACACATATGGATCACACCCACACCTTTACTGTGAGGATAGATCAACAGGGACCAAATAAAAGATGTAATTATCAAGAGAAAGATATGATAAATACCGTACATGGTGGGTTGACTGACAGAGACTAAACTATAAAACATAAATACTTGAATGGAGATGCTTTATATCAAACCTCCTCCTCAAGTTGGAACATGATCACTGAATGTGCTAACTTGCTACAGGTAGGATCAATTGGGGCGTCCTGAGGGGTTTTAAGAAGATACAGTCCCTAACTAGCATAATCTTAGGAGCTTCATGAGAATTAGTGGTTGCTCTTTTTTAACCTACAAAATGACAATCTAAGAAATCTTTGATATGCTCAGGAAAAATATGATTATTATAAATATGCATAGTGACCTCATCGTCAAAATGCTTGTCTGACCAACCAGATGGGAGATACCGTAACTCCTGAACCAAATGTCTAATCTAAGGTAACTCACATGTTGTACATGTCTGCCCTATACTCAGAGAGGAGCAACTTGTTTCTTACTCTTCCGTGACACAAGCAATTCTATTAGAAAGGTTTTTAATGGGTTTTATTTAATGTTCAGTTTGCCAGAATTGTTGTACCTAGGGTTTTAATAATAATTCGGATTCAGGATAATTAGTTTGTGTATTCATTTATTAGTTAGCAAGGACAAAATTTTAGTCTTTTACTAGTTCTTTTTTGTTTTTTAGTCTAGATTAGCACTTTCATCTCTTTACAAGGGATGTAAACTAAGGACTTAATCATTTGATAGCTTGGGATTTCTTATAAAAATAGGTTATCTTTGTTGAGTGAATTAACTTTGCTTTTGGAGCCTTTATCCAGGATGTGAATTTATTGATATCCTAGTGTTCATCTGGTGTGTTGTTTTGCGACATATCATTTAGTTTCTCAGTTTCTCTGCCCAAGTTCTGTCCATATCACCTTAACCATTCTCTCCTTTTCTCCACATCTTTTACCCTTCTAAATAACCACCCTCCACCAAAAAACTGTATATTTTGATGGCTAGGGTTATAGGTTATGTCAATAAACACTTTCTTTACTTATATAATGCACCTGGTCATATATTATCTGCGATATACCCCAATTTGCTGTAACAGGTGGGTTGGCTCCATACCAAAAAATATCAAATGATCATAGATACTGATTCTTTAATTATTATTTCAGACAGAATCACACTGGTTTTAGAACATTGGTGTTGCATACACTTGCGGAGAAGTTTAATTATGGACACACTATTTGTAGAAAAATTATGGTTTGCTGCAAAGATTGTAGAATATCTATGATCATGATTCAATAACGTATTTTTGAGGAAGAAGCAAGTGTTCCTCCTACTTAGGTGCAGGCTGCGTCGGTTTGTTTAAGGACACAAAAAAGAGGGATGAGAATTGGTTGGAGGGTCTTTTTACACTAAATTAAGCTTGTGCATGAACCGTTTAGTGACCAATTGCAAGTGGTTGGATTTTAGGAGTAGCTTGTTACACTAAAATAAGGTTGTGCATGGTCTTGGTTGGTTGCAGCTGTAGTAATCAGCTTCTAGGGTGGAACTGAATTAATATAATTAAACAGTTTGGTTTTGTCATGGTGGTTATGGTTTTGATCTGATGGTTTCTGTTCACTTTGTCTTGTTAGCTTTTAGTTCCTCAAACATGAAAAAATTATGGATGTTTATGCTTTCTTTGGTTAATCTCTGATTGCTTTAAGAGAAGAAAAAATAAACAAAAAATATGTTCTTTCTCTCTAGAACAATAATAAAACCAATATGTTTGAAGCACCAATTAAACTTTTAAACCCAAATTTTCCCTTGGAAGCACTTGTGGATGATTGTTTGGTATAATGGTGCTGCAACAGCAGAGTACGACTTGTGATTGGTGGTAGTAATAGTGTGTGACCTGACTATTACCAGATACAGTTGGTACCAATATCGCCACAAACAGTAGACTAGTGATTACTAGCCTCAAGAAAAAAAATCTCGGACCTCTCTTCCAATACGTAGGTCACTTCTGCTCCAGATTATCGAGTTTGGCATCAAATCACTTCTTATTTGCATAAATACCATAACTTATTTTGTATTTAAGAACCTAGCTTTTGAGCCAGACATTTTGCATTTCTGGAAGCGTAATATAGTTCAGATCCTAGGAGTTCCAATGACATTAACAGCCATATCATGTGATCACTGCCTATTACATTGTAGACTATGCAACAATCAAGTGGCAGTTCCATTGTTTGTTTCCTCCCGATCTGTTTCCAGTTCAAGTCAAACCATGATTTTGCAGATTTGCCTATGTTTAATTCCTTTGGGATGATAATTATTTTTTCCTCTAGATATTTCTCCCCTGATATTGCATATACTTCAATTGATGCCTTTACCTTTATTGTGTTTTTGTCTGTTTTAGCTACAATTGATGTATTTAAAGCTGGTTATAAATTTTGGCAGCAAGACCTCTTCTAGTTTAGTAGTTTATGGATTATCCGATCATGGTGATAAGTCTCTGCCTTCATCTTCATGCTGTTCCAAATTGTATGCAGGTATGGGCTGTACTGAAACCTGGATTCCTTGCCCTGCTAAAAGATCCATTTGATGCTGAGCCATTAGACATCATTGTGTTTGATGTTCTACCTTCGTCAGATGGGAATGGAGAAGGTCGAGTATCATTAGCGAAAGAAATCAACGAGCATAATCCCTTACGACATTCGTTTATGGTAAGTGTAGCAGGACTTGTTAATATGCATTAGCACGGTATCTAATAGATAGATGAATTATATTTTCTTGTACTACTGAGTAGATGTCTTCTATTAGGAAACTGTTTTCTTGTTCACATGTCGCTACCTTAGTTGCTTAAAGTATACCGTGTTGACAATTAGTTTGAAGTTGCTTGTTTGTGCTTCTTTCTCAAATCATGTCTTGTTTGTCTTCAGTCTTCCTCCAACTATGCTATTTTTTTTCCCAAATAGTTTCGAGCCTTCAGAAATAGCACATGATATTTAATTGGAGGTATATGAGCTACAAAATTTGTGTTAAGTAGACAATTTGTATATTTTTTTTTGTAAGGGTGTCCGGGCCAAATCCCGACTAATCCCCGGAAAATTTGGAGGCTAAACATGGCCCCACTTAAATGTCGCCAACACTCCCCTCCCAGGGCTCGAACTTGGGTTCATGACTATGCCATGCCCAAGCCTTTACCACTAGGCTGGAAGGTCTTTGACTAGACAATTTGTATTACTACCCTAACCTGTGGTATTTCTACAAACATATATGACTTCAATTAAAAGTTACTGTACGGCTCCCTGCACAAGTATCCCTCTGGAGAAGTAGCAATGGTTTCTTGAAAACTGGAAGTTAGTAAAAAACCTAGACCTTGTGTGGAAATTTTTATTTGATCAATTTCTTCTAAAAGCTATATAACTTCCCCAAATTTGACTAGATCCCAATACTGTTCCATTGTTAAGTGCCAACTGACTTAAAAGACCACCAACCAATATTCTAACTTCTTATTGGTAACGTAATCAATGCATTTTTATATAAATTTTCCTTGAACAATTAACTTACAAAAAAAATTATTTTGTTTATCCAGAAACAGAGTAGCATTGTGTTAAGAAAATCTGCGTCTGAAGTACCTGATAGAGATTCCCCTTGCATTCCATATTTGAGACCTTGCAGCATACCCATCATATGCATGGCAAACTTGTAACCATGTTTTGTGCTAACTTATTTGTAATTCTATAAAACCAACTATTAGAATTTTTGTTTAGAGTTTATGTTGGATCATCTGCTTGAAAACTTTCTGAATTCTATAGGATTGATAAAAAAAAAACCTTGTTCCACTTAGTTCTAGGGGGGTAAGGGTGAACACCCGTGTCCCACCCTTGTCCAGGTTAGTTCTACTTTGTTCCACATAAGACCACACCAAACATAGGACAATTGTGTTCTGTCCTGTCTGTCCCACCCTGTCCAGCGCACCAAACACACCCAAAAGATTAACCGAAGAAACAATGACATACCTTTTATATGAAATTAGTTGGGGTAGGCTAAAAATGAAAACCGTCATCATTCATATTTTACCTTCTTTTTCCCTTAATAGGTCTCTCCTAGTCGCATTGGCATCTGATATTGTTGTTCATACTAGTTTTCTCTATATGATGACTAATTACTGTTTTGTTGACCATGTAAATGACAATAGGTATCATGTGGAAACCGAAGCATCGCGATAAGAAGTAGAAATAAATCTAAAGTTAGGGACTGGGTTGCTGCAATTAATGATGCTGGACTCCGGCCTCCCGAGGGTTGGTGTTATCCTCATCGTTTTGGTTCATTTGCTCCACTTCGTGGCCTGACAGATGATGGCAGCCAGGCTCAGTGGTTTGTCGATGGTCGAGCAGCATTTGAAGCAATTGCTTTGGCAATTGAAGGGGCAAAATCTGAGGTTTGTTTCTTGTTCCTATAGCTTGATCAACATTGATTCTTTGTGATTGTCTACTATAATTCAATCTAAAATAATCTTGGATGGTTATGAGTTCCATACAGATATTTATTTGTGGGTGGTGGCTGTGTCCAGAACTGTATTTGCGACGTCCTTTTCAAGCGCATGCGTCCTCTCGCCTTGATGCTTTGCTGGAGGCAAAAGCCAAGCAAGGTGTTCAGGTAGGCTGTTTCTTTTTAAGTTAGAATTGCTTTGCATCCATCCAAATTTACCATACATGAGAATTCTCTAGGGGTTGGCTTGTAAATTTAGATTACACGATAGAGATTTCTTGATCCCAAGTCTGGTAGAAGATGGGATGGCTTTCTTTTGCAATATTAATTCTGATGCATGACTTTCAAGATCATTCATAATTCTCTTTGTGTTAATTCTTATGTTGAGTGTCGTAATGCAGTAATGCTTAAGAAGTTCCTGATAATGGTTTTAATAAGATATAGATGGACGATTTGCACATTTAGGTTTTGAATTGGTACTTTTCTATGAGGGATAACTTTGTATAAGTAGTATGTTTTAGGGATGAATCTGGACCATCAAAGTAATCCTAAAAGACATTACATCTACATCATAAAACCTAACAGAGGCAATAAAAATAATATGAAGGTGCAAGCATGAACCGGATCGAGTACATAAAATATGCAATATACAACATGTAAAATATAATCGAGTTTCCAACTAATTTTCGGTTCTTATCTGGATAATCTAGGAATTTCCGTCTTCATACTAAAGTTTTTCAGTCCGACTCCTAGGTGAGTATGGTTTTGTATCCTTGTACGCAACACTTGGATAAGAGATCCGGCAAACATTTTTTATGGTGAAGTAATATTATGTGAATGAGACCGTCACACCCAAATCCCAAGGATGTCAACATGATCATAGCCTTCCCAAATAAATTATTTTCCTGAGTTATACCCTAAGAGTCTTCTCATGTGAGCATAATGGCTCTCACATAAACACCTAGACTAATGTGTTTGTGTTGTTGAGGCTCATAGAAAACTGAGTAATTATCATCATGGTCACACCCCTTGAGATATTGAACTGTTGAAGCACCTGCATGAATGACCAAATCGAACTTTTTGGGAAACTGCTTGATAGGATCTTCAAACTCAGCAAACTTTGGAAGACTCCTCAACCACGGACCACATTGGTTGATCCCTAATATCTCCTCATAATCAATGCACATTAACTATCTTAGCCACAATAGAATAATCAATGCATTAAGCTTGAGAATAGCCTTTTGCGACACTTTTAGACGACGAGGGCCACCTGTGTGGAGCTTCATAGTAGTAGGCTTTTGTAGTTTTGAACCCGACCAAGCACTTTCCAGGATGCTGAAGGGCCTCTATCACCACTTCTGGGAACATAATAGCTATATATGAGGGGAGAACACAAGAGTTATGGGATAGAGTAGTGTAGGCATACGATGTTTGACACAAGTGTAAATGCTCTTTATGATGGTTGAGTTTCTAATGAAGTATTGGAACTTGGAACAAATATTCACGAAAATCATGAAATGAAACTTCCATGAAGCATTGGGAATAATATCAGATTATTAGTTGACATGTCGCTTCCTAGTGTAGGATTTTTTTCAATAAGAAGAAATGTAGTGGAATATTGGGTGAAGGTACCAGCATTTGAGGCGCTATATGTTAGGAGATAATGAAAAATCATACTCGCTGTTATTAGTATTAGTTGAAGTGAAATATCTCCTAATAACATGGCTAGAATACCCACAGCCTTATCAAAATATGATGCAAGTGACAAAACTAACCTAATAGGAGTTAAGTCCATAACACACGGCCAAGTAATTTGGAAAACAGAAGTGGTATGGTTGCTATTAGAGGAGATACTCCTTAGAGGGGTCAGAGATTTGATTATCTTAGGCTCTGATTCCATGTTAATATTTAGAGTTTTGATCATCTGTTGTCTCTTGAGCCGATAATAAAAATATGAAGAGACCCTCGATAACATGAATGCTGGCATATGAAATTGTAGTGGTTTTAAGTTAGTTGCGTCTTTAAACGATGAATCATCAATTTGATCTCCACTCTCCTAAAAGATTAGGTAACCCGTTCAAGTCAAAGGAAGAAGGCTCAAGGTGCACAGATGTTCAAAAGTTGAGGTTTTGTCCATTGTGGAGTTTGAGTATGACCGCTGAGAGAATGAGGTGGTGTCTTCAATGCAAATTCTCACAACAGTACGAGATAGAACTTATACCCTAGGGGAACATAGGGGTTGAACCACCAATTCTATCATGCTCTAAAGTGTCTTCAAATTTAATTCTTCTTTAGTGTTTCACTGTTTCCTTCTCCTCCATCTGATTCTATATACAAAATATCATATTAGTAAAAGGAAAAGGGTCATCCATTTTCTGTATACTCTCTTTGCTGTTTCCATAATTCCATTGTATAACTTATTGAGATAACTCCTCCATTATTCTCTGACCTTATTGTATTTGATTATAAGTCTTTGCTTCTCATCTCTGGTTCTCCAATCTGACTTCTTTCCCTCTATATTAGAAACTTTCATACATCATTTCTATCTCTTCTGTTTGTAGTTTCTTGTACAACTCATCATATGATTTACCTATAGCTTCTCATACTATGGTTCTTAGCTTCTCTTTTGCTAGTTATCACTTATTTTTGCTTAGTACAATCTTACAATCACATAAGAGATCTAGGCTCTTTCTCCTTAGTAACCTTTTGTATCTCCTTGTTCCACCACTACATGTTTTCAGTTTAATAGCGCTCCTTCTTTCTCTGACCATCTCCTTTGCTACCCTCCGGATGCACATTTTCATCTCTTTACTCACTTGATTAGCTTTCAATCGATAGCCAGAGGCATTCGTTTTTACTATTCGATGATTAAACATTCGTTTTTTATCTCCTTCGAGTTTCACCACCTAGGGTATTTTTAACACCTTACACCATACACCATCTAACATTGTGCTTAAAGCATTTGTTTGATACTCACCACACGCTTCCTAATTAGGATATTACAATGCATGCATGACATTGATCTTATTTTCTAGTAAGCACAAAGTCTATCCGACTTGATTACCACCAAAGGTTCCAGCATGAGGGTCAAGTTTTGGAAGAAAGTGGTTACAACTATCATATCATAAATATTACATGTTCTTTTCTTCTACTTGGTTCTGATTGTTTATACCCAAAATCTTGATGATCCAACACCTTTGCTTACATGACCATTGAAGCCCCATTAATTTTGGCGTACGACATGCTATGCAAGAATGCAAAGTACTTAAGGTTGATAATAGATATAAATTGTGTGTTAATACAATTGTTTTCTTTTTCTTTTTGAGAGCTTTCTTGATTCATTAATGAAAGCATTAATGTGAGAGATCAGTGACAAAACTGAGGGATAGCTCTAGCCTCTATGCTGGTTATTTATATTAATTTGCATAGTTTTTCAAAACTATTCTTTTACCTGCAATGTATTTACCAGTGACATGGAGTACCTAACATGTTTTTGTTGGGAAAATCTTTGACTGCAGATTTACATCCTCATGTACAAAGAGCTTGCTCTTGCGCTTAAAATTAATAGTGTATATAGTAAGAAAAAGCTGGTTGCCATCCATGAGAATGTCAGAGTTCTTCGTTTTCCAGACCATTTCTCTAGTGGTGTCTATCTATGGTAAGCAGTCTACATTGCATCTGTCTTGGCTGCACTTTGGTTTCAACATTTGATAGCGCTTTTCCTTCTGTTTTCTCGTTTATCATTTGTTTCTTGATTCTTATGATGTTTAAAACCATTTCATATATTTCCATTTATCTTTTATTTCTTGTAATACATAGGTCCCACCATGAGAAATTGGTCATTGTTGATAACGAGGTTTGCTTTATTGGTGGACTTGATCTTTGCTTTGGTCGTTACGACTCATATGAACACAAAGTGGGTGATGATCCTCCTATGTTTTGGCCTGGAAAAGACTACTATAACCCCCGGTAAGTTATTGTTTTACCATTGTGGCAGTTTCTCTCAGTAATTATGGTGTTCTGTATTTTCTTGGTAAGTTTCATAGGCAATCAATGATATGTTTCTTCCCACTTCTTAATTTTTCACTGTCTGCATCATGATCATTCAGTTTCTTTAGATGAACAAATTACAATATAATTGGCTTAAGGTTGTCATACTCTTATTCAAGTTTAGTAGTTTACCATTGCCAAGAAAAGGAAAAAAATGTTCCATTGTATGTGATAGGTCATGCATGAATAAGAGTATGAGTTGAAGCATGTCATGAAAGCATGACGAGGGAACCACTCAGATCCATCATGTAATACCTTCACTGGCCTCATGAAGTTAAAGCTCTTTCAAATAGCAAGCAGCCTCAATTTTGATTCCACTGTTACAGGGAATCTGAACCAAATTCGTGGGAAGATACGATGAAGGATGAGCTTGATCGTAAAAAATATCCTCGTATGCCATGGCACGACGTCCATTGTGCCTTATGGGGACCACCATGTCGTGATGTTGCTCGACACTTTGTTCAGCGTTGGAATTATGCAAAGGTTTCTGTTTTTGCCTCAAATGGACAGATTTATGCCAGAGTTTAATATCATTGTAAGCTGACTGACTGGCTATAACTTTTTCAGAGAAATAAAGCTCCCAATGAGCAAGCTATTCCATTACTTATGCCCCAGCAGCACATGGTGATCCCACATTACATGGGCAACAATAGAGAACCAGAGGTTGTAAATTCGACGTTTCTGGAAACTCATAAAGTAATCAACAGAAAGGATTCTTCTTCCTCTGGATCTTCTGAAGACATCCCATTGCTAATCCCTCAAGAGGCTGATGGGTTGGATGCTTCCAGTGGACAATTGAAATTGAATGGGTTGAATGATTTTCATGGTCAGCCAAGTAGGCCTTCAAGGACTTCCTTTTCTTTTCGGAAATCCAAAGTTGAACCTTTAGTTCCAGATATGCCAATGAGAGATTTCGTGGATGAGCGAGATACCTTGAATCTTGAGCAAGAATTGTCCTCTGATGTAGCAATGCGTCCTGGCATGAAATCTTCTGATAAAGAATGGTGGGAGACCCAGGAGCGAGGCAACCTAGTTGTTTCTGCAGATGAAACAGGACAAGTTGGTCCTCGTGTTGCATGTCGCTGTCAGGTGAGCTTTCACTCTTGATTTGGTTAGCTCTTTGTGTTTTTATTTGCAGTATATAGTTACTTGTTTTGTCTCTATATATGTTGTGGAGGAACTGTTTCTGTTTCAATTTTTACAACATGTAACGTAACTTATAGGTTATGAAACTTCTTATGGACTATGTATTGACTTTTGGTCTAGGCAAACTTGCTTTTCAAAGTATTAGATGACCAGTCTGAAAGATTTTTCTGTACACAGAGCCAAGTGAATCTGCAATTTAGTTTTGTCCATTTAGGATATTGCCCAGCAATCTAGTTCAGTTTCCACATATGCTTTCGATTTGTATGATTTATTGAGCTCCCTGAGGTGGAGATATACATTACAAGTCGTGGATAATCCAAGTGCTTCGGCATCCTGGCGGGCTCATTTCTTTTCTGTTCATAATGAATGATGAGGAGAGAGCCGAAATAATAGATAATAAGGAGGAATACACGTAGTTTTATACTAGATTATCGTACATAGGTCTAGATAGCAAAATGTGAGTAAGGAAGGAAGTTAGAGGTATTACCTTGCAAGTCTAAGTAACCTAGGATGGAGGTAAAATGACATCCCACGTTCTGTTGTCAAAAATTATTCTGATGAACTGTTACTAATGCACTTCTTCTTGATGGTTTTTCTTGCTTACTCAAAGTTCTCTCATCTATGATCTGTATATCATACAGAGATTACAATAAGTTGTGATTTATCCTATTGTTACTGCAATTCTCTTAGCTCCCAAAAGGTTGAAGTTTATGCAATTATACTGTTTCTTATTCTTGTAAGATTGTTTATTGCCTAGATTTTTCAGTACCATAATGTGTCCTGGATTTGCAATCTGGAAGTACTTTAAGTGCCTATATATCATTTTTGGAAATACTGAATGTTGATCTGATCTCTTCGGAAACAAAAAATTTCAGTTAGCTTTTTAATTTAGACCTGGAATTTCCCATTTTAGGTTGTAAGGAGTGTCAGTCAATGGTCTGCTGGGACAAGTCAAGTTGAAGAGAGCATTCACAAAGCTTACTGTTCCCTTATTGAGAAAGCTGAACACTTTGTCTACATTGAGGTACATCATAAACTCATTCCATAGAGCTCAAATTACCTGAATTACATCCTTTACATATGGTGCTACAGTTGGGTGTTCATTTTTCGCTGCATTCCTTTAAGCTTTTCATTTCATGTTTGCTGATTTATTGAATACAATTTTGTTCCCAGAACCAATTCTTCATCTCAGGTCTATCTGGAGATGAGATCATCCGAAATCGTGTGTTGGAATCCATATCCAGGCGTATTGTGAGGGCATATCAGGAAAAACAGTATTTTAGGGTCATTATTGTTATACCACTCTTACCTGGCTTCCAGGTTAGTAGACTTGGTTTCTTATAGTGAGATTTACTCTTAGCTCTGCATTTTTGGTTTTCACCGAATAATGTTTTACAGGGTGGTCTTGATGATGTTGGCGCAGCATCTGTTAGAGCCATTATGCATTGGCAGTATCGAACAATATCAAGAGGACACAATTCTATATTGCAGAATCTCTCTGATCTTCTTGGTCCAAGAGTTCACGACTACATATCTTTCTACGGTCTCAGGGCTCATGGTAGACTTTCTGATGATGGTCTTGTCGCCTCCAGTCCGGTATATTCTAAATACCTTCTACTATATTACTCCCTCCATCCCAAAATAAGTGTCCACATTTCTATTTTAGTTTGTTCCAAAATAAGTGTCCACATTCAAAAGTGAATACCAACTTTCCAATTCTACCCTTGATTATGAGAAGGAGAAATTCATTACTCCCTCTACTATTAAGGGTAAAATTGTCAGTTAGCTAATTAAAAGGTGTAATAGTTACACATTTTTTAGAATTGTGTAACTTTTTTATTCTGGACATTTATTTTGGGACGGAGGGATTAATTTAGTTTTCGCTTATCACAATAGAACACGGTTACCCTTTGCTGCAAAGTTACCTTACCTCGATAAATATTCGTGTTTACCTTTATTATGACTTGATTCTTCTACGGAAACCAAGTGTTATTGTTTGTAGTATCACGATGTCAGTCATGGATGGTGTTTTTCATTAGGATAAATATTGACATACTTGGATGACAGATGGTTTCATACAATTTTGAGGGACAAAATTGAAGTTGAATGAATAAAGATTACAGATGCTTATTATTCCAGCCTATGAAATGCAAATAAGTGCTCAGATCTAGGGCTAATCTCTCTCTGTCTTCTTAAACTGTCAACAAATCAATACAAAGATCTCTAAAGATACTTGAAAAAGATTCACTAATACCCGCTTGGTATTGGTTAATCTTTGACAAACTTGTTCTTGAGTCGTAACCCCCATACAAAGGACAGAACTTTGTCCGCAAGACATCTTTTAGAGATTTTTGATCGACCCAATGCTTTTCTATTTACTGCAGGTGTATGTGCATAGCAAGGTTATGATAGTTGATGACAACACAGTCTTGGTTGGATCTGCTAATATCAATGACAGGAGTTTGCTCGGATTACGAGATTCTGAGGTAACTTATTCCTCCTTGTTTGCCACAACTTTAAGGTCTTCTGGCATTTTCTTTATCTGATGGTGAGATATCTTTTGAATATCCCATGAAGTTGCTTTTTTCTTGTAAAGAACAATCATCAACCTACCTTTTAATTTAAAGTATTGCTCTAATAGAGATTAACGACAGAAAATGTTTCATATCCTGGCTACACAAATTCACACAACTTCTTATTCGAAGTACATTTTGATTGATACGAGACTTTCTTTCCCCCAGATTGGAGTCCTAATTGAAGATAAGGAAGTAGTTGAATCTTGCATGGGAGGCAACCCATGGAAGGCCGGAAAATTTGCCTTGAGTCTTCGCCTTTCACTATGGTCTGAACACCTTGGTCTTCATAGCACAGAGGTTTGTTCATCTTTGGCATCATCACCCTCAAACCCTACATAGTGGAAAGTTAAAATGAGAACCATAAATATTTTCAGAACTGTGAAACCAGTATATGCATATATCTAGGGTCGAGTTCAGGGGAAAACCGCAAAAAATGAAAAACTGTTCAACACCATGGTAACCGTTCATCTAGACGGTAAACACATGTGTATACAAGTAATTTGTGAGCAATTTGTCCGGTATGCACCGATGCATAAAAACCAAAAAACATTAATTACTTGTATGCATATGTGCATATCGTCCAGATGAGTGGTTTCCTCCATTTTTCATTTTTTTGGGGTGGTTTTCTCCTGAACCTCTCTCTCTCTCTCTCTCTATATATATATATATATATATATATATATATATATGCAGGGCGTATTCAAATGAGACATATAAATAATTGTGATAACCATGAGAACCTTTACCTTAAGGTATTGTTTTACATGATATTTTTTTTCATCAAAGGCTAGCATTTAATGTTGTGATGAACTTATATTTGTTTCACAATGTGTTTGCTTCATATGTATTCGGTTCACAATGTGAAACTCTTTTACGTGCAACTTTTGTTTCACAAACAGGCTAAAAAGGTTCACATTGTGAAACAAACATATTGTGCAACAAATATATGTTAATCAATATTCTAATTTATAGTCTTAGATAAAAAAATCATATGAAATAGCACATGATGCTCTAGTTCTCAAGGTTATCACAATTTTGTGGGTTCTTAACAGAAGGTCCCCTTATATATGCACATATATATATGTGCATATATATATGTGCATATATATATATATATATATGTGCATTGATGCATATACACTATCAAAATACATGTTTGTCAATTAGTATATTCATCGATGTAAAGGACTAAAGGTATTATATATGCATCGAGTATAATGCATATACTCGTTGAGATTCATAGTGTATATACTGGTTCTCACGGTTCAGTTGAACCTTACCCACCCCACATATATGATTATTTCTGGACATATGAAACGGATCGTGGTTTAAATCAGATGCTTATTTTTGACCTTGCAGATAAGTAAAATAGCCGATCCAGTGATTGATTCTACCTACAAAGATATATGGATGGCAACTGCAAGGGTAAGATCAAATCTTCACCATATATTAGCTTTGTTCATGCAAATACAAATAAAAATTTAAATAAGAACTGAAAATAAATGAACTGCCAATTAATTCCCTTCGCTCATTCTGGTTAATTCGATGTTCATTCCTAACCATCATGCATCCAATTTGTCATCAACAGACAAATACCATGATCTACCAAGATGTCTTCTCTTGCCTCCCTAACGATCTTATACATTCCAGGTGCGCCTTTTATTTTCTTTATTTACGTTATCCTGGTCTTGGATTAATCTTGTCAACATCTTCTAAACTTTTTGAAGCACTCGGTGTTTCACCAAATGCCGAGGGTCTTCAAGGAAATAGACGCTCTACTCTTCAATGGTAGAAGTCAAGTCTGCCTACATCCCACCCTGCTGACCCCACCTCCAACATTCCTGGCTCGTTTGGTTTGGTTTGGTTTGGTTTAGTGTTTCAAAATCTTTTTGAAAACGCATTTTTGCAAGCCGGGGGTCTTCAAGGAAACCACCACTCTATTCTTCGGGTTACTGGACAAGTCTGTGTACATCTCGCCCCCATACCCTACTTCCGAGTGGGATATCCTGGTTAGGTTTGGTTTGGTTTGGTTTAGTTTTGGTGTTGGTTAATATCCATATTTCGAAAACGAATGTGCAGAGCATCTTTAAGGCAATGCGTGGCTGAGAGAAAGGGAAAACTGGGACATACCACCATCGATCTAGGAGTAGCCCCGGAGAATCTTGAATCTTATGAAGATGGAAGTGTGAAGGGAATGGAACCTATGGAAAGATTAGAAGCAGTGAAGGGGCATCTGGTTTCTTTCCCTACGGATTTTATGTGCCAAGAAGATTTAAGACCCATGTTCAAAGAAAGCGAGTATTACGCATCGGCTCAAGTTTTTCACTGATCTCTTCCGATGAATCCAGTATATATTATACATGCGGGATACCATCCAGCAACACGGTTATGCCTATTTTTGGCACAAAACCAAAAACCGAAGACACAAGCATTGTGCTCTCCATAATCTACATTCTATTGGGACTTGATGTTATTGTAAATATCTGTTGCCTATCTTACCTACTCTTGGCAAGTTGCAGCATGCAATCTGAACCGAGTTGGCTCACAAGACTAAACCAGATTGTGACCTTTTGTCGCACCCAGGGCATATTCGCTTGTGATTGGCAGTCTGTGGTGATCCAATTGGGTTCAAGTGGCTAGAGGGGTTCGGTTCTTTTGGGGTTACGGTTGATGGCTGGTTTTGAATTACATCTCTATTACATATCTCAAAGAGAGTTGAATTAAAGTTGGTCCATGGACACAGCCTACAGGTTGCAACTCTTGTAAAACTTCAAATTTACTATGAATTTGAACCACAACACAACAACAAAACTCTCATCTTTAATTAACATACATTATACAGTGTTTGTATTCATATAAATAAGGGCCCTTCTGTTAGGAGCTTAATGTGACTCGCAACTTATTTGGTTAGCTATATATGACTGTTTGGTAGTGGTGTATTCAATAAACTTATTTGGTTAGCTATATATGACTGTTTGGTAGTGGTGTATTCAAAAAACTTTTAGGAGGGAGCTTGATGGTAATATTACTTTTATTAAAGAGTGAGAGGCTTGGGAACCATGCGATTTGCCACTACCGTATGGCTTTGAGATCGGTACAGTAGGGGCGTTTCAGGGAACGGCATTGCATCCTTTTTGGTAGAATGTTAGGGACCGTTTACAGTTTACTTAACACTTACTAGGTAAACACTAACCAAGTGTTACATTACCATGTGAGCATATCAAGAATCAAGATTCTTACCTTGTAAATAAGGGAGGAGGCTCTTACCATGTAAGCGTTTATCAGGTTTCACTTACTTTACTCGATGAGTATGTCAATGACCGTTAATTTTATCCAGTAAGCGAAGGGGGAAAACTCACTCGTTGGCATTTACCAACAATCTATGTTAAGAGCTGAGAACGTTATCAAATAAAAAAATTTCTTTTCTACAAATTAAACTATTATCATCGTCTCAAGCCTAATATTGAATATTTTTTATTTTATTCATATCTATATCTATACTATATTATAAAGCATTTGACAAAAATTCTTAAAGACCATTTTTTATGCACGAAGTACTGTTTATTGATGCATATTACTTAAAATTTAATATGACAAGTAAATTGTGCATAAATACAACTTATTAAAGCTCCATATTTGAATTCATGTAACTAATTGCAGATAAATATAATCAAATATTGGATAAAAATCTCATTTTAAATATACAAAATTTAAAATATAATTAGGATAATCATTGAGTTCTAATAGAATATTTAGTTATTATCCTCAAAAAAATTATATTATTAAACTAAATTAAATTTATTTGTTAGTAAATCTAAATTAAATTATAATTAAAAAATTGAATTAAGAAAATTACACCAAAACATAAGAATTTAAAAAAAATTAATTTGATACTGATATCGATATTTTTTTTCAAAATTTTATGATATTTTCAAGTTTATATTTTATTTAAAAATAAAAACATTATTGCTTTTTTAAAACCACATAAAACCGTATTATATTGACATAAAAAAAGAATAAAACAAAACACTGAAATCAAGATGTGTTTCGATACATTGCACGAGTACAGTTCTAGTTATTAAATAATGCTAATTATTTTTAAAACTTGCACTTTTTACCAAATCCTTTCATAAAATCCAAATTTCTCAAAATTATTCCATCAAACCAAACGAGCACTTAAACCTTAGTCAGAAACCACCCTTTTCTTTCTCTTATCATTTTTCATCCTACACTTGTAAACACGATGATAAATGTCTTTTTTTTTACATATACACAGATAAAAGACTGTGTTCGTAGTTGTCAAGGATGATCCCAATCACCACCACAAACTAACTAACCATCACTCGTCATCGTCACCAATAATAACATAACGAAACAAAAGATTCTCATCATCGAAACCAATACTACTGAAAATCCAAAACAAAATGTCAAAATCATATATAAATCCGTTTATATTGGGTAATCATGAATTTGTATGTCAAAGATTTCAATTAATTATGTAACTATAAGGACCAAAATTATAATTTCTAAACTACAGGGACTAAAATCATTATTTGGAGCAACTTTAGGGACGAATTTCGTAATTTAATAGACACCCAATACTCGGTAATCATCCATTCCGAACCAAAATGGGGAAATGAATTTTCTCGATTCCATTCTCTCTTTGAACGGAAGGAACCTGCAACAAAAGAGTGTTCATCTCGAAATCGACGGCAACGAACCATTTTCAGGTAAAGACCACCATCACCATAACTCATGACCAGTTAATCGTTGAAATCTCCACAATTAGCTCATCCACCTGCTATAAATCGCATCAGTGTTAACCGATAGCAGCCAAGGAGAATTGTGGAGTTTCTGCTGTTGTTTTGCTTATCTTTTAATATAGAAACAAGCAATGTTGAAACACGAGGGTAATGATTGCTCAAATTTCTCTATTGCAGGATACTTGAAATACTGTACTTTTGTGTGTGTGTGTGAATTGTGGTGATTCAATGGCTTCAACTGCTATACCTTCTGGTGCATTGGTTATTCTACAAGAACTCAACTCTTCTTCACTACACTTCAAGCAGGGGGCATCCCTTCGGGTTACTGGAAAGTGAGTGAAATCTTTTGATTTCAATGGATTCATCTGGTCTTTCAACTGATATGCATCTTTAATATTGCATTCACATAATGCAATTATCCCAAACAGGTTTTATATTAAGGGGCCGTTTACTCAAATGCTTACCCGGCAAGTGGTTATCGATAGAAGTCAACACTATAATTATTTTGATGTGTAAGATTTTAGTACATTAAAACATATTGAATGCAACAAGTTATTGGGTAAGTGCTTACCTGACTGAGAGTCGTCATCCTTACATACCGGGTAAGACTCTCCATCCTTTTTATTGCTAAAACCCCGATAAGATTCTTGGCCCTTCTCATGTTTATTCAATAAGGAAATTTATCCGGTAAGCACTACCAAATAAGTGTTTAGTAAACGGCCCCTAAATGTAGATAATCGAACTTCATAATGCTTCTTTACTCTTACCAACAAAATGCATTATGTGGGTAGCAAGGATTTCAATGGGTTACACGTTAACATTTAATATTACGAGCTTATGAGTTTAGTTGTTCATTTAAGTTGAACCATAGAATAACTGTGAAAGGACTCATTTTTAATCATTCAGTCTTTCCACATTGTGTCTAAACTAAGTTACAGTAATGTTTGTGGAGTCCCACGTCGGCTAGACTTGGACCATTTCTCCTGTATATATGTTGAAACCTCCCTTTTCTCCTTGAAGGCTCTTTTGGAGAGTAAATATGAGGTTTCCATATATCGTCACATGTTATCAGAGCCAAGTTCTGCCACTCTAGGGACTCGACACCGGACACTCTTGTAGATTGTTTTTGGTAGGTTGGGATTCGGTGAGAACAACTTTTTTGGTGAGGAATACTGGACCTTTATGGCTTCATCGACCATCATCAACCTTCATCCACCTGCATTTACACACCTTCATTTACCTCCGCATACTATTACCTACTTGTATAACCATGACTAAATTTATAGCAAATTCATGCATGTTTAGGAAGGTATATAAAAAGTAGGTGAAGGTGATTGAGGGTGAAAGTAGAAGGTCTGTGTTTTTTGTGAGCCATCAAATAGAAAAGCTCATCCAAAGGCATACAAGTAATTTCAATGTTCTCACCGAACTCATTTGTTCTCACATGATCCCAACCCTCGGTTCTTGGTACAAAAGATGAATCTGAAAGAACCTGAGAGTTGCTGTCCTTGTATGCTTTCTCATGAAAAAGTAACGTGGTTCAACAGCCCCTTTACTTTTCTGTTTACATAGGTCGTGCCTTATTGATTAATACGTATCTTTGTAAACACCTCTTCCAAACATACAGTATAATCTTTCCCACTAAGGGCATGGGCATCTAAAGCTCGAAGTAGAAAAAGACTAATTCTATATTCTTACGTGATTTAGGTTACAAGAGTATAATGTAGAGACGGCCATTGCTGTTATTGCTGATGGAGGTGCCACGCTGGCAGTCGACACTCAGCACTTAAGACTTAATCTTCGAATGGGCTCCATCTACCAATTCATTGGAGAACTTTCCATTCAGCCAAGTAATGAGGTACATAAGCTTATTATCTTTCTGGCAAAGTCTAAATTAGCCATCTATTTAGAATTTAATCATACAGTCTGCGAGTTGCCCCCTTAATCCCCCATTAATCCTAAAGTTAGTGCATGTTTAGGTATGTCGAATAAAAACTGTTCTTTTGTGTGTTGTTTCATGATAATAACAATCGGGTGCTTATGGTCCAAATTGGTTCATTTGTCCATAGAGTTTCCTGAATACATAAGTTAGTGACCCGTGGGTGAAATCACACGGAATGGGTTTGTGCAACTTTGCTTGATACCCTAGAATAATGACGTCAATTTACAGTTTTGATGTGTTTGTTGGTACAGAGCTAAGGTCTGCCTAAATCTTTAACCCCCTCCAGATGAGATATACTGGGTTTGTTTGGTTTTTTTGGTGATGTGTTTGTGGGTACAATTTCAGAAGCTACGTTTTAATTATAAGTTTTATATTCAGGGGATACTGAAAGCGAGAGTGGGTAGAAATGTAGATGGGATTGATCTTAATCTGTACCACCAGTCTTTGAAGCTCGTAAGACAATTTCAATCTGATCAAATCAGCCATTTGGAGCAGCTACAATAAGCAAAACTTGAGAACACCCAACCATGGTTTGGCCAGTAAGTGTTTTCTTTGGATAGAGTCGACATGTGTGCGCCAATAAGCTTGTATATGCAATCTTTCAATGACCGATCTACGATGAACATGTTTGGATGAATATATATATATATATATATATATATATATATATATATTCCATAGGGATATGATATTGCTTCAGCCATCTTATTCGTTGACATTAATCATAATGTCTAATTTCATTACTAATTAAGTTACGTGGTCCACATTCATCATCAAAATTTAGAAATTTTGTTATATTAATATTTGATTTTATTATTTTGGATTATATTTCAATTCGTGTATAAATACTGGATTCAAAAGTCGTTGATATTTCTGTATCGATACTCATCTAACCATGATGTAGGTGTTCAATTATTACGGGGTGTGTGTGTGTATAGAGGTGCATCTAGAAAAAAAATCGAGATAATCAAAAGTGTTGGGTGCCGATGAGAATGAAAGTTACGGTGAGAAGGGTAAGAAGGGATCTCTATCGAAAGAAGGGATCTCCAGCTTTCGATACACCAAATCAATTCCCTTCTAAAGCTCAATTTAGAGGTTGGTTTGAGATTAAAAGTGATCATTTGTCCAAATCTCTTCTTATATTTCTCACTTTGACTCTTCGTCGTAATTTAAAATACCATAAATCGTAAAAATAAATAAAATATTAATTATAAAAAATATGATTTAATAAAAATTACATATAAAAAATACAATTTAATAAAAATTACATATAATTGGGTTTTCGCCACGGTCAAGTGGTTTTTCGTTCTTATTTTCCCTTTTTGGTGTTGTTACCAAAAACTTAAAAAAAGAAGAACCAAACCTATTCGAACTTAGGGGCCATTGAGCACTTACCGGTAAAATTCAACACTATCGTTTACTTATCGGGCAAGATTTTATTCACTAAAACGCATCGTATGCAACAATTAGCTTGGTAAGCACTAACCATGATAAGAGTCATCGTCTTCACTTACTGGGTAAGACTCGAGATTCTTGTCTTCGCTCTTATCGGGTAAGATTCTTAGTTCTTGCCATATTCATCCAGTAAAGTAAAGTAACTTGGTAGGCACTTACCTAGGTAAGCGTTTGGTAAACGGTACCTTACAACTTATAATATCACATGCAATGACATTTATCAAGACTTGCAACCACTTTTTGTTAATTTATGGAAGCAAACATCAAATTAAAGCGGGAGCATCTTTAAGAATTAAGACCCCTAATTTTTTCCCATCGGGACTATTGAGCAAGGGCACAAACTGGGGGCGGATCCAACCTTTAAGCATTGAGGGTGGAAAGGCCCCAGTCAAAAACCAAAAACCTTTGTTGACTAGCTTAAATTTTCTACTTTCACTCTTGTCTTACATGCTTTTCCCCCAGTTCCATATGGCCATATGCTTCCCTCCTCCCAAGTCCCATCCAACGTGCCCCCGTCCCATTAATTTCTTGAATTTGCCACTGATACAAACACTCCCTAATACATGACTAAGTTGTGTGTGTGTGTATATATATATATATATATATATATATATATATATATTTCTATATTGAACAATATAAATAGATAAGAAAAATAATATTTTAATATATAAAATACACTAACTATAAAACTTGAAGTTAAGAAAATTCAAAATAACGTGCATTGGCGAGCACGTCATGAAGGCGGCTCGCCTTAAACAACTACAATGACAGCTAACGTGTCACACCCCATTTTCCATGGTGCCATGATAGCATATCATGACTTAAAATCATCGTAAACATCTTGTCCCCTACCAATAGAAGATCTAAATACCATAAAACCCTTTAATATACGTAACGCGCTCAAATTTGACCAGATGAATTACATAGCAATTTTCAACATAATCCAGCGTTAATAATTTCTATCATGAATCCTTACTGCTATTGCCTTTGTCACACTCAACCTGGTCTCTTCCTCTCGTGCGTGCGTACATACACACTATTAATCAATTTAGCGTTCAGTAAGTTTATGGTTTCAGGTAAGTAACAACAGCTATCTTAATATATGAAATTTTATTCTTAGACATGTCAATTTACAAACCAACCGTTAACATAAGCAACATGTCAAATCTTCTGCACCAGTCAAACTCAAAGGCACCCTTAGACACCTGTCTTGACTAACGTGTATAAGTCTAGTGTATGAAGAACACCTTATGACACGTGCACTGACTATCATGCATCAATCACGGTATCTCGTTGTGTCATTGTCAGTGTCCTGGTACATGACCTCACACATATAGCTGAAATATATTCTTCACGCATAACGCATTTTCATGAAACATGTAATACACTATGACACTTAAAACTTCAAAAGGGTATATGGTTTTAGCTTGCACACGACATATACATACCATACATACATCTAAATACTTAACCATTTTGTACAAAACCATTCAACAACTGCCAAACAGCCCCTTAGTGTCTTACACCGAACGTATCATGTTTAATTAACATGGGTCAACGTGACCTCGAGCTTACATTCGTCTCGCTTACATTTGTGCGAGTTCAGGTGGGCTCACTTGACTAAGTTGGTTATGTGAGGGCATGAACTTATAGGTTAGCTCTAATCACCTGTCATCAACCAATGTGCACACATAACCATACATAGGCGGTGTTTGCTTTTTGAAAAGAGTTCTTATTAGCTTCTTATGTCTGATTTGTTAAGAGGTAGGGCTATTTAGACTGTTTGTTTTTTTTTTTCAATTTTTTAGAAGAATTTTATGTCTTATTGTCCTCTTACCTGGTAAGTGGTAAACCAACTTCTTATTTGCCTATTATTATTCTCCAAACCCTCAACAACGACGTTTCTTAATTGATTAACCTTAATTAGTCATTTCTCTCAATCGATCATCACCTCTCTCAGTTGATGTATTTTAATAGGATTTAAATGCGTTAAATACCGTTAAAGGTATATTTTCATTTAAACGATTGCTAATTATATATTTTAGATGCAAATTTCGTAATGATGATGAATAAATATGTGAAATTGTATAAATATATCTATAAATTCAACATTATCATTTTCTAATGTGCAAAATAGACAATTTAAACAAATTCAGACATTTTTCAGTTTACAAAAACAAACAGTCCTATTAAATCATATTTTAGATTTCAGTACCACCTCTTATCAATCAGAAGTGAAATAAGACTTCAGATTTCAGCACATCTTACAAAACAAACACCACCTTAGCCATCCAAAACATACCAACCTGCATATCTACTTCAAAGTTTGCTAAAACATAATTTTGACTAAGGGACCGTTTACTAAACGCTTACCCGGTAAGTGCTTATCGGGCAATTTTCCTCACCGGATTAATATAGCAAGGGCCAAGAATCTTACTTGGTAAGAGCGATCATTATGATGGAGAGTCTTACCTGGTAAGTGAGGATGACGACTCTTACCCGGGTAAGCGCTTACTGGGTAAATTGTTGCATAAGATACCATTTTGATATACTACAATCTTATCCGATAAAAATAAATTATAATATTGATTTCTACTGATAAGCACTTAAAACATTTGGATAAACACCCTCTAAGATAACATACTCTGATAACTTCATTTAAACCAATTCATGTATGCTAAATGAAATAGTGACCACCACTTCATGTGTTTAATATCAAACAACCCTTCAACTTCACCTTTTATTATCAAATGGCCCTTGACCTAACGGTACGTGAGTCTTTGATTTCTTAGAAGGTCAGAGGTTCAAACCTTATTAAATATGATGAGGGTATATGAGTTTATTTGTTCTATTTACCGTATATAAATATTATATACTTAAAAAAAAAAAACTTCAATTTTTACTAGATGGCACAACCACTTCAAAGCCTAAACCACTTGCTTATTTATTTTCGTCGATCAGTTGCTCAACTCAAAACGTCATGTTCAACTTCTTCACTCAACCTCTACAGACATCAGCTTGTCTAACTTTTTAATAGAAAAAAAAACACAGTCAATTACTGATATTAACAATAATATTATATTCATCAACACCATTTGTCAATCCACAGATTCAAATGCCAGATTCCACAATTACAATTTCTTTAAAGAAATTAAGACTTCGTCGCCGTTACTTTTATGAAGTGAAACTTCTCACGTTTGACTGCTTAATATGCAATTTTTAACGGTTTTAAAGCATATGTTGATACACTTTGTTCACATAAATTTAATCAACCAAAAATCAAATACGACGATCATATAAAACAAATTAAAACCCTCGTCTTACTTTTATAATTTCAATGTACCCCGTCACCATATTTAAATAATAACATACCTAATTCGTTTTTCTAATCTCTCTCTCACACACACACACACACACATATATATATATATATATATATATAATTCTATCATGATCAAACCCTTTTTTACTTTCTTAATCATATCGTATAAAATAATATTATAAAGATGTTGAATTTGAATATAATAATAACATCCCGATCGTAGACAACGAAAATAGTAGGCGAACAAAATATCGACATTTTTTTAAATAAATAAAATAATAATTTCAATGATTAATTAATCATGGATTTTTATTTAATTATTAATCATCATATGGGGATTAATTAAGTAATCGTAATTATGCCACCATTGATTTTGAGCCATTAGATTTATTTAATTAATTATTTATTTGGTTTATATTTTTTTATCACCGACTTACTTTGGACATATAAATCTAATAATAACAATAAATTGCGTGGTTGATATTGTTTCGGAATCAAAAAGTCTGAAAACTACCCTCCACGTCATCTTTTATTGTTATTTAAATTAATATTTTTCGATATAAACATAACTTTAAATTCCAATTTTTTTTTTAAATATATAATTTATATACGGTAAATAAAATAAATAAATTCACGTACAGTCTTATTTTTAACAGATCCTTGATTTTTTAGAATGTCAAAGACTCACATACCACTTGACTAAAGTAGGGGTGTAAATGATGCGAGTTGAGCTCGAGTATCAATACACTCGCCTCAAACTCGAAACCCAATTTCTAAGCTCGAACTCGACTCGAGAACTCGCGAGTAGTAAAAATCAAAGCTCGACTCGAACTCGATAATTATTTTTCAAGTTCGAACTAAGTTCGAAACAAGCTCAAACTGCAACTCCAATCAAACTCGAACTTGAATCAAACTCGAACCAAGCTCACTAATTGAAATTTATGAAAATTTTAAGGTCTTTCTATTATATATTTTAAAATTTAAAGGTGTTCTCTTATTTTTTAAAAAGATCAACTTCAAACGTCATCATCAAAAATACAAAGTTAAAAAATTTCATTCACTTCTCTATCTTTTTATAACATATTTCTTTCAATGTGGGACAATTTCACTAACCTTTTTTATAATTTTTCTGTCTTTTTTTAATTTTGATTTTAATAAAAAGATAATTGATTAATTTTGATAATTAAAAAATGCATAATTTTGTTTAAATATAAAAAAATATAAGACATTTTTATTATTTATATTTTATCATAAAAACTGATTATATTTTAAAACTAATTATATATGAAATAACCGAGTATCTCGCGAGCTTTTCGAGTCGAGTATTGGGTAGATTGACTCAACTCATTAATATGTCAATTCGAGTCGAGTGTTGACCGAGTCGATCTCGAGTATCTCGCGAGTTGGCTCGTATCTACAAAATAAAGTATTTTTCCATTTAGGTTATCCTAAATAGGGTTTAATCATTTGAACTTTAAATTTTGTGAGATCCACCAAACTTTTGTTTTACGTTATGTTTTTCATCTAAGTATAATATTTAATATAGTAATTAACGTATATTTGTTTCACAACGTGTTTGTTTCGTATGTATTCGATTCATAATATGAAACTTTTTATCTGTATTTTATGTTTTACAAATACAACAAAAAGGTTCACATTGTGAACCGCATACAAATGAAACAAATATATATTAATCATTGCATTAAATTTTAGCAATAAAACAAAAAAAATTATATAAAATAGCACATGATACAAAAATATTAAATCTTATGGTTTTCATGTTTTAATTTAAAAATTCTTTGTATTGAAAGACTTTTTTTTAATTAATTACTAAATACAGATTAATGTTTTGTTTTATTAATTAATTTCATTTATATATATATATATATATATGTGTGTGTGTCTGTATGCGTGCATGCACGAGTGAAAAACAGTAAATCATATGTCGATTAGATTTTTACGAGGTGCAATAAAGTTTTGGGGTAAGATTGCATTTTGAGAAAACCAAAGGGGTTAAAAATAAACATGATGATAAACCCAAAGGAGTTTAGTGTAAATAATGCTTGTCCTAAGAAGGCAGTTATCCAATAAACCAGAGTGCATGATATACGGGTGGGGCCCGGTAACCTTCATATATACCCATCCACCCTTTCAATTTCATCATCAATACAAAAAAGCTTTCTGGAGTTTTGATATGCACACAATCCGTTTGTGTAAACTTCCAACTCAGCTTCATTTACAAATCGATGGAGTGGAAGTTATCTGAATCATCGCCGTACACTGCTTGTTCTTCCGGGGATTCTGCCGGTATTTGTGGTTTTCCGATCAACTTATCGGCTGCTGTAACTCTTATCCGCCATTGAAGATCTTTTGTTGAAGGAAAGCTGGCTAAAAGACAAGGTTTGTTAAGATTATTGTTTGTTTATGAAGCTTAATTTATGGTGTGTGTTCTGGATTAAGATTATTGTTTGTTGGTTTGGTAATTGGTACTGTTTGATGTTCATATCTCTTGATCGTGTGATTTACCAAAACCACAGTGGTTTTCACTTTTCAGGCTAGTAATGAGTTTACTATGAATTTTTATTGATCCTGGATCAAAAGAATCTGTGTGGATCTGTAAAATGGATCATTGCCAAAATTGAACCTAATTTTTGAGATTCATCCTGACTAGATATCGATGCCTTCTAATTAATGCTTGAAGTTTAATCATGAAATCAAATAATTTGGATCGACCAATGGATGATCAAAACTCAAACCCACAGAATCTCTGGGATTCTCTTTATGTATAATTGCATATGATAATTTTCAGAAAATTAATCAAGCTCTGGCCAAAATTCCTCTGTTAACTGTCGAGATAATCCTCAAAAGGTTTCCATTTTGGAAGAATATCCTTGAATATGTTACGATTTCCTTAGCTGGTCAATGGTCTCACATGAGTATCATTTCATATAAAGATTTGATGCTACTTTTTAGGGAGATGAAGAATCATAGATTGTTACCCAATTGGATTTTGCATGTTTAGAAAGCTCTAGATTGTGTTATGGAGTCTGGTCGTTTATTGGTCCATGCAGTTGGTCGATTAGGTCCAAGATGAATATGAACCATAGGATATATATAACAATCTTTACCTGCTATTTTGTTCTTTTCAATAATTGTGGTATAAAAGCAAGAGAGAGACGTGTTTGACATCATCCTTAGTTCCAAATGAAAAGTTGAGCACGGGTTTTCTCAATTATTTATCACCAATTCTTTTCAATATATTTGTGGTTAATTTCATACCCTTTTTATTTTGAAAATTATATTTTATACCTATTAATTGAGTTATAGATATGGGTTCGGGCCATCAGATGATAGAGGGGAATCAATCTCCCCACTCCTTAAGGTAGAGGTAAAGATCTGTGTACATCTTACCCTCCCCGGCCACACTCTACGTGGGATTTATTGGATAGTTTGGTTTGGTTTGGTTTAGACCATAGAGCGGGAAAAAGTGTTTGTTACTTGAATTGGTGGATATTTAGTATTATGCAGACATTATCTCAATGTTTTTACTTCGATACCGTGAAAAGAACAGAAGAACATAAAGCGAGGTTGTTTCCTTCGTTCAATAGAATAACTTTGTGTGCGTCAATTGAATTGTAGAAATAATGGTGCAGTTTTCGTCTTTCTTAAACGGATTGACGAAAAATATTACAACAAAAAATGGCAAGAAGCGAAGGATCAATCTTGGAAGAGAAGCTACAATTGTTTTGGCCAAGGAAGCAAGGAAAAATGGCTTATTATTGACTTCTCCCGGTAATGTTAGTGCCAAATGGTCTAGTAATTACGTATCGGCTTATTCTAGGGGAGGGAATAAAGGAATAAATCAAGATTGCTTCATTGTATGGGAGGTAAATTGCTAAGCTTTTCTCTTTTCATATGAACATACTACAACATAATTGGCTTTGCACGTAGTCAAATATGTCTAAATGTCCTAATAGGCTTTCACTTGTAGGACGAGATACTTGTGTGTCATATGTTAAGATGTTAAAATAAGTTTATAAGACGTTTTTGGAGTACCTAACAAGTTTTTAGGACATTTTTTCATAAAACATCATATTCGTCTCTTTATATGATATCATTTGAAAAAGTGTTTTATAATACAAATGTCGTATAAAAAGATGTGTTCAGTATGACATGTTATATAAATGTTTTTCTAAAAAACTTGTTAGAAAATCCAAAAGCGTCCTATTAACTTATTATGACACTTTTACTTATGACACACAATTGTTTGGTCCATAAAGCAGTCTATTATGACATGTAGACATATTTGACATGTCATAAAACCGATTTTTTTAGTGCCACATATAAACATTACGAACTCCATGTACTAATTCCGAAGAACTTGATCTATTGGCAGGCATTCGGAGGGAAGGAAGACGTTATGTTCTGTGGAGTTTTTGATGGGCATGGTCCATGGGGTCACCTGGTCTCAAAAAGAGTGAAGAAGGTAATGCCGGCTTTTTTGCTTCACTACTGGCAAGAAGCTTCTGCTCAATGTTCAGCCGGGTTGAAGAATGCGAATCTTAATCAATTTGGTATGTGGAAGAAATCGTTCAAAAGGGCTTGCTCGACTGTTGATACTGATCTTGAGCTTCATCCTGTGATTGATTCATTTTACAGTGGTACAGCTGCTTTGACCATAATCCGAGAGGTACACACAAAACTTATCATAACACATTTCTTCTTGATATTTAGTAAGTATCTTGTCAAATTTAGCCTCTTGATCTTCATATAAAGACTCAAACTTTCTCATTCAACATCAATGTCGCTAACTTTATGATTGGTTCGGATATATATTTCATGAAATATTCTACGACTTTACAGGCATTCTGTAATATAAATCCATATGATCAAAAGGGGTCTTCACAAAGGCAACCGGCCTACTCTTTGGGGGTAGAGGCATCTTTCCCTCCTTGGACCCCTTGAGTTGGGATATACTGAGTTTGTTTGGTTTATGTTTTTACGAACAAAATAATAGGTTTGATCTTAAAAGTCAAATTGTATTTTGTTGGTTTGAAAATGAAGAGAATGAACTTCTTTCATGATTATGATTCTCAGGGGGAACTCATTGTGTTGGCAAATGTTGGCGACTCTCGGGCAGTACTTGGAACCAGTTCGGATGATGGTAGCTTGGTAGCCGTTCAGCTGACTGTAGATTTTAAACCAAATTTACCTGGTAAACGCTCTCATTCACATATTCATATGCATCCGACTGAAAACCAAACAAAACCAGTAAATCTCGCACAAAAGTAGTCTCTGGGGATGGTAGGTTGTTCCCAGAAGACTGTATGCACCTGATTGTAAACCACATCACACGAACCCAGTAAATCCCGTGTAGGGTCTAGAGAGGGTAGGATATATGCAGACCTTTCGTCTATCCAGGGGTAGAGGTAGAGTAGAGAGGTGGTTTCTGTGAAGACCGTATGCGCTTGATTGTGTAAAATACATATTTGCCACCTATATTTGATTCTTGTGTTGCTATGATGCAGAGGAAAGCGAGAGGATACATAAGTCCGGAGGGAGTGTGTGTGAAGCAGACGATGAACCTGGAGTGTCGAGGATTCGTGCTCCACATGAGGAGTCCCCGGACGGTCCAGGACTCGCACTTTCGCGGGCTTTTGGTGACTTTTTTGTTAAAGACTTCGGTCTTATATCTGAGCCAGATGTGATCCAAAGAACCGTAACCACACGAGATCGCTTCGTCATTTTGGCAACCGATGGGGTATGTGTTATATCATCCCGCTAATTTTTCCACTTTTCGTTTCTTCAACGGGCTAGAAACTACCTTGAGAGCCAGCTCAATCGGCAAATAAAGGTTGGGCCTTGGGGCTCCTCCTCTTAGGTTGCCGGTTCAAGTCCCCTTAGGTTCACCAGGGACTTTCCCGGTATCTTTAGGCCTCATATAATTAGTTGAGGTGCACGCAAGATAACCCGAACCCCTACAGTTACCTTAAAAAACAACTGACATTAGGCTTTGTTTGATAATTAGGTATGGGATGTCGTCTCAAACGAAAAGGCGGTCGAGATCGTTTCATCAGCAACGGAAAGGGACGAAGCGGCAAAAAGGATCGTTGACTACGCAGCCGGTCAATGGAAACTGAAACGGCCGGGCTATGCAGTGGATGACATCTCAGTTGTCTGCCTGTTCTTCCACAATCCAGTGGCAGATCCAGAAATCTTATCAAGCGGTCACACATAAACATACAAAATGATGGCATCGTTAAGAAACCGTAAAAAAATTTGATACTGCCCCCGAACAATTTTGTGGTGGCACGGGAACCCGCTAAGCATGTCTTATTATCGTTTTTATGGTGTAAATTAGTGTTTAAATAGTTTGAACCTTTTTACCGTTTTCAAGTGTTCCTTTTTGGGAATCTTTGTTTGTATAACTTTATAACCTTAATGGCCAATAATTGGATCCAAATTTGGGAAGCTAAATATGTTGCTGGGAATGTTAATATTGTTTTTCGTCTTGTTTGTTTATCTCTTAATAGTTTCATTAAGAGGTAGTCTTTGAATCGTTAAGAGACGAATCTTGTTCGGCAAAAAAAAAGTTTGCCTCTTAATGGTTCTAATACCATCTGAATGATTTTGTATCTTGGACCTCCCTTAATCTTTCAGCGTCCTAATTTTGTTGTAAATAATTACTAAACAATTATATTTCATTTTGCACTATATTATGAAAGCTTATTAATCATTTTGACCACTTAATCATTCTGTACCAAACCATTCAGTAACTGTCAAACAGCTCCTTAATTAATTAGTTTTTGTTTTGTTTACAATTTGATTTGAAATAGAAGGTATTTTTTTGCTTTTATATTGATAAAATAACTTCAAAAAGGTTTTTATAATGTGTCTCTATAAAATTATAAGAGCATTTTCAACAAATTTTATAAAATTTCTTCAAATAGCCGTAAAAAATCAGAATCTCCAAAAAAAATTACATTTAATCCAACAAAATTTCCATTCTTGATATTACAATATTAGTTATATTATTAAAAAATTTACACAGTGACATCAAGATTTTTACTGGTGAGAATATAGTAAAAATTAAGTTCCTCTTATGGTAATTTTTTTGTTGATTTTTTTAAATTTGGAGAATTTCACTCTCTTTCATACTTTCTCCATTTGAAAAAAAGTTTTGTGGAATCTCTTGGAACAGAAAAAATTGTCCAAAATCTCCATTTTTTAATATGTTCCATTAATTGTATCGAAGACGTTATACATTCGTCAAAATAAAACTTTTGAAACCAGGTTCCGCAAAATATGAACTGAAACAAATTATTTTCTATTTTAATGCAATTTACTTCTTAAAAAACTACTCCCTCCATTACAAAATAAGTGCCCGTATTTATATTTATGTTTGTCCTAAAATAAGTGTACAGTTTGAAATACATATAACTAGATGCTCAAAAGTACCTTTAATTAGTGCATAAATATTTCAAAGTTGTGAATAGAGAAAAACTAAATAAAAATAAAATTGTCATTTAGGAAATTAAAAATTGTAATAGTTATATGTGTCTAAAGTTATATGTCATTTCAATTATGGGAGTTGGGTTTCGGTGAGAATGAAGGTTAATGTGAGAAGCGTAAGAAGGGATATCCACCATTAAATGCACATTAAGATGAGATGCATCGAGATGAAATACACCAGATCAATCCCTGTATCAAACGCGATTCATGGTGGATTTGAGATTAAAGGTGATCAAAGGTCTAAAATCTTTCTTACGCTTCCCACTTTAACTCTCGTTCTCACATAATCATTCGCCTCGATTATGGACACTTTGATTCTAAATAACTCGTTATGGCACCAAGGCTTCGCTTCGCCGTCAGGTTAACCCTCGTAACTCCACTTTAAGGCTTGGCTTCTGTTGTAACGCTTTATGGCGTGTCATGGCATGTTATGGTGCGTTACGACGCGTTATTTTGTAAGGCTTGATTTTTTTTTACTTTTCTAAACATATAAATTGTGGGATAAATTATAATTATGTACGACACCTAAGACTTAAATATACATTAAAAGAAAATATAAAAACTAAAACCCTGAATAGGTAAATTCTTACTCTTATTCCCGTACACGTTTCAACTCGACTCTCTCTCTCTCTCTCTCTCTCTCTCTATATATATATATATATAGAGAGAGAGAGAGAGAGAGACTAGTTAAATCCGATGTTGACCGTATGAAGGGCTAGAATCGCTTCTTTACTTATCAAATATTTACCACTAGTTAAATCCGAGGTTGAATTACCAAATTACCCTTATCATTAATTTATAATTTAGATTTGAACCTAAAGTGAAGAAAGAATGTGATTGGTCAAGATCGGTTTATATAGTTTGTACCATATGGTTGGTTTCTATTTGAACAAAATATATATATATATATATATATATATAACGTGTACTTAGGTTTTTCAATGATACATGCAATGCATATGGTATCCGATGTGGACCACTCTATTGTAACGACCGAGTGGATTGGTTACAAGTCAACAGGCGTGCACCAACAAGTGTGGCCTTGAGCATTAAAACAATTGAATTTGATGCATTCCATATAATTCATGCATTAACTTTTCTTATTAATTCCTTATAGTTAATATTAGAAAGGTACTCGTACGATGTATCAAGACATATTTCGATTTTAATGTTTCGTTTTTATTTTTTATCTATGTCGACATAATACGATTTTATGTGGTTTTAAGAAAACGATAATGCTTTTATTTTTGAATAAAACGTAAATTTAAAAATATCATATAAAATTTGTAAAAAATATATCAATATTAGTATCAAATTAACTATATAAAAGTTTTTATTTGTATATTTTTTTTAATTCAAAATTTTTATTATAATTTAATTTATCGTAACGAAGTAACTTAATTTAGGTTTAATAATATTTTATTATAAAGATAATAATTAAGCATTCTGTTAGAACTCAATAATTATCCTAATTATATTTTAAATTTTTTATATTTCAAAATGAGATGTTTATCTTCTATTTGATTATGTTTATCCGCAGTCAGTTACATGAATTCAAACATAGAGCTTTAATAAGTTGTATTTATGTAAAATTTACTTGTAATCTTGAACTTTAAATAATATGCGTCAATAAACAGTACTTCATGCATAAAAAATGGTTTTTAAAAGCTTTTGTCAAATGATTTATAATATAGTATAAATATGTTGGACAAACCAACCATTTTACACTCAGTACAAAAATAATACCAAAATCCACACCATAAATCTCTCATTTTATGTCTATTAATTTCATGACTAAGATTGCAAACCACTGAGATAATTGTCTCTAGAATTTTCTACATACTTCTGAAATTAACAAATCCATAATTGTTTTAAAAAAGACCATTTAAACGCTACAGAAGTGAGAAGACAAGATGTAAGAACTGTATTTATACAGGCGTTTAAAATGTTCCATACAAACATGATTTTTCAAATAAACGGGTTTTTCTTTAATTCGTGAGGCATTTTCTTTCTCTTACAAATCATAAATTTGACTTTGTCTTTCTTTGATTATTGATAAAGACCATGCCTTTAAAAAAAAACGTGTTTCATACATAACTTTCGTTTTATTATCTTTAATGTGTTGGAAATTTGAAAGTCTTTTAAACAGTGTATAAACCCATCTGTTCAAGATATTTGTTTGATCACGAGAGTTTACCATTTGATAAAAGGGAAATTTATAAAAATAACTGTTTTACACAATCCTTTGCCACAAAATAACCATATTTTAGAGGTTTTGCCAAAACAACCATCCGGATCCCCTAAAAAAAGTAATAATAAAAAAAAATTTCTCAAAAGTCGAGATTACTGTTCACCTCGTTGACCGTGTTTGACCTCGCCCGGGGGCGATCCGTACTGTTCACCCATGAATTTTTTTTTAAATTGAAGTTGTATTTTTTTAACTTTTTTAAAACCAAATTTCATAAGGAAAAGATTTAAAAATAAATCTTTATAATTATGGAGACGCAAAAATTAATTTTTTCTGTTTTGTGTTTTGGAAATCAGATATAATATCTGATTGACGAAATTTGACCTCTATTTTTTTGTTTTTAATTTTAAATTTCACGGTTTTTCGTTATAAAATAACCGGATGATAATTGTGGTTACGAAAAAAAAATATTTAGTTGATTTATGGAGAAAAAATCAGACATTATATCTGATTTCACGGTTTTTGATGATATGACAGCTCTATGACGCCGATTTGACGTTGATTTGAATTTGATTTGACGATGATTTTGTTTTATTACTTAACGTTTTATATAAATTGAACGTAGGAGACCATTCATCCCCTCCACCGACCATTCCACCGCCCGTTTTCTCTGGAAAAACCGAGCGAGAAACCGAACTTTGACCATCCCGACCAATATCGTAGCCATTATTCGACATACAGTCATAGACTACCGTATAACGACATCAGAGAATTTCCGCCGCCACCGACCACCGTTCTGCCGTCGTCGGGCACCATCCACCGCCACCGACCACCGTCATCGGCCGCCCCTCACCACCTTCCGGCGCCAACAACCACCCTCCTCCTCCACCAACCACCGTCTACCGCCGCCATCCACCACCGTCCGCCGCTGCTATGGAAACACCGGTAAATACTCTATCTTTATATTTATATCACTTTTTTTACGTTATGCATCTCTCTATATATATA